AAAACAAAATAATACATCTGTTGAACGTTTCCTGTTTTTTAATATAATGGAATAATTACACCATCATGAAACTATAAAGAAAGCAGAAGACAGATTTTACAGATAAAGTGCCCTGTGAATACACATATTGTTAGTGCGATTTTTATTTATCTCTCCAGGATGTAGTTTAATAGTCACTTTTTATAGTAACTTTATTTTAAAAATGACAGTGAAAATGTCAAAAACTGGGACAGCAAGTGAGATGGAGACAGATATATACATAAAAATAGACATATGACCCCAATATAACCCTGTGAAATTAAATGAGTTGGAAAATAATGGCAGAAGAAGGACCAAATCCTGTGTCATAATGGAGATGGGTGTGAAGCGCGTCAGGCGGCGGTGACAGGACAAGAGGGATTGTGGGGCTGTTTAACATGCAAAACAGGTAGAAAATACAGGAACAGCCACCGCAGGGAATGGAAAACGACTGTGCACAGGTGAAATGAGCAGGGTTCAATAAAGGGAGGTAGACAGATGCAGGAACAGAGAGAGAAGGCCAAGTCCTCGTCTCATCTGATCTCCTCTACTGCATCTGAATGAACTGTGGAGAGCCTGAACTGCTTCTTACCAACAACAAAGCCACCCTAACAACTTATTCAGGGCAGAAAAAGCTTGTTTTTTTTTCTGCCCAGAAAGCACAACATTTTTTCTGTTCATGCGCCTTAATGGATTCAACATCTCTCTGCAAACAATAGCCATTTATAACATTAACTATATATTAGTTGTACATAAAGCAAAAATCTCCTCTGGGGAAGATATGGATAGAAGAGGATTCTCTAAGATTTGGAGCAAAATGACTTTAAACAAAGAAATGAGAACAAGCTGTGTATTAGACCAGAGATAAATTCACTGTGTAAGTGAGGGGGTCTAGTTTGTGAGTCTGATGGCAGACCAATGAAGCAGACCCGTCCTAAATCCACAGTCCCACAGTTATGCAACACATGTTCTCCATCTGCAGCTACAGATAGGGAATTGGAGTGGATCAGCAGCCAATGTTATGGGACCCCTACCTGCCTGTGTTATAGCTAACCTGCAGGGATGCAAAGATCTTTGTCCAATATTGCATTCCTTCCATCCATGTCTGGTAATGGCCATGCATAAGGAAGGATGTCGACCTAGGTCCCAGTTCTACCAGTGCAGTGACTTGTCCTAAATTGATGTCCGTGGAAGGGGAGCCGGTAAACGTGGTGGTAGTTCAGGGGCAGCGACCTGCCCTTACTCCGAATGAATCTCCACAGGACACTACTACCAACATCTGTTCAAACTGAATCTGTACACCGCAGTTAAGTATAGCTACACAGTGCTGACGTCATTATCCTAACTGCCAGTAATTAGGCCATTTACTAGGGAGACAGACATCACATCTTGAGGCCTTCTGGAACTTCCTTTGGTCTTCACTAAATGCAGGCTAATGAAAAATGAGTTAATAGTTTCCCACAACAGGAAGATATATATGATAAATCCTTTATGTAAAAACAAAATTTCAGAAAATATTCAGATTATGCAAATAAAAGAATAAAAATCAAGAAGGAGAAATAAAACGAAGCGAGAGATTGTTTTAGTCAATGACTGAACATAAAACTCGTACAGCAATAAAGTGTAATTCAAACTTGTAAAAAAAAGCACAAATATTTAAAATTTAAAAGTTCTATTCAGGAACGTCAAAATACAAAGTCAATTGCTGAATATTAGGAGTCAGACATACAGGCAAATAAGAAAACCACGAAACCTCAAAAACCCTCAGTCCTTTAATGTTCACCCTTCCTGGCCTCCTTCTTTGTAAACCACGCCCCTTTTTAACAGCAGTCATCCCCAAGCTCATCCACAAGGATGCTGCAATTGCCGTGAAACGCAGAGTGGAGCAGGATAGTGGATGGCATGGCACTGGGGGCTGCAGGGGGCCGGACTGGATCTCGGTGTGGCAGTGCAGCCACGTGGGGACAAAGAGGGGACTAGTGGGAGGACCGCCAGCGTTCATTTTCCTTCCAGCACAAAAACATAAGTTCTTCAGCAGCAAACATTAATAAAAATGTGGAAAAAAAGAGCAGAGAAGCACAAAAAGCAGAAAACAGACATGTTTGCGAGGGGAAAATGTTCCAGAAAACAAAGAACTGTAACATACAGAATATGAACATTGGAGCAAACAAACACATGAGGTATAAATCATGGACATAAATGAGCCCTTCTGAGTCTCCAGCTGAAGTGTCCTAGATTCATAGCCGTGGGTCCTCCCTCTGTGGCTCCTGGTTCCTGATGAACAGCGCATTAGCTCACTGTCTGTCCCCAGGCAAGACCCGAGTCCACCACAGCACTCCTCCTGGAGGATGAAATATTAATCGGCATCATCACTGGCAAGAGCAAGCCGGCACTTACAGCAAGGAGCCTGCTGCTTAGCCCAAGATCACATTGCCCCTCCATGAAGGGCCACTGCTCATTGGCATGAGTATGAAATCTTAATCATACCCAGTGACTATGAAAGCGTGTCATGCATCACACTTCAGCTTCTCTTCAGGGTCAGTGTCAAAGTCAAAACTGAAACCTTACCGTTTCTCGATAGTACAAAGCCAAATCTGAAGCCACAGTATTCTATACTGGCAAGAATGCTTTCCAGAACTTTTAGCCATTATTCAAAAGACCCACTTCCAATTCAGGCCCAGTCTACAGCTTCCAACTCAACCATATGGCTTTCACAGCAGACGAGAGCTCCTACACCAACTGGTAGTGTCTCCATGTTGCAAGGGCTGTAAGGAAACATGAAGAGGAGGAAGATGAAGACATCCAGCGTGAGACAGAAGCTGCAGCCCATTTCAAAGGCTGCGCGAGCTCTTCCGCTGAACAATGAAAGGCAGGCTTCACTAATTGTTGGCTATTAGTCTATAAGCATGTAATTACATGTCTTATTAAATACAGAATTATAAATGAGCTTTGTTGAATGAGAAAGCACCCCTTTTTAATGAACCTAATTTATATGGAAATGAAATGTGCACCATTCTATCAGACCCATTGTGATTGGATAAAAGGAAAAGAATTCTGCTCTCAATATGTCTTAAACAGATTTTTATATTATAGCATTTGTTGTAGCCAAAAACAGACGGTAAAATCATACAAGCATGGGAATTATTTTTTAAAGTACACCATCAGCTGTGGCAAACAGGGAGCAGCAGGAGAGCCAGGGTAGTGAGGTGAGGTACTCCAAAAATACTGGCCGGAGACTCATCAGGTAGACAGGCTTGATACAGGTGATATGGGGTTTGTCTGCAGGCAGCCCATGCTGAGTCTTATGGATTAACGAATGCCTTAAAGATAGATGTGCGCAAACAAAGCAAGCGGCAGGCTTAAGGAGGGCATACTTGTCCTTCTTTTCACCTAGGGGGGAAATCTATTAATACGTTGACTTCCATCAAATACTGCAGCATGCTTTTTTTTTTTGCAATTATTCTTGAAATAGGTTCCAAGACAGTTGTTTTATAATTTCCAGAAGTACCCAGTGACAAATAATTCCCTGTGTGTAGCTCCCTTCTGTCTCTCTCACCCTGCAGACTGAGTATTACTGCACAAAAATACTCTTCCTGGGTAATGCGTTGTGATTTATTAATGCAGCGACTGCATGCGGTTTTTCTCCGCAAAGCTTAGCTGTCATATTTCAATAGAAGAGCCACAGCTCCCTCTAGTGGAGAACCTTTCCAGTCCAAGAGAACACCAGAAATGACAGTATTGGTCATGTCCTTCCCACCCACCAAGCTGATATATTTTCTATTCAGCTGTCCTTTTCCCATAATTGCTTATACAGTAGTGAATCACACTGAGCCTGGAGCTAACCTCAGACACAGGAAATGGACAATTTACATTTTATTTGGTAGATGTTTCTATCCAAGGTGACAAGGCAGGGTTGGACAGTCCTGGGGGGTCTTGCTCAGGGGCTGTAAAGGTAAAGCCAGTCTGCTGATGGTGGGATTTGAACTGGGGATCATCTGATCAGAAGCACAACCACTGAACCCACTAAGCCACATCCCTTCCCAGTGTAGACACAATCCAATGACATACATTTGCACTAAAGCAAACTGGACAACACTGTAGCCCCCCCCACATAGACACACAAACTTAGAACCATGTCTCTACATAATATTACCATAATATTTTGCTCCTTGTAAAACAGTATTTTCCTCTGTTTTCTGTTTCATCGGTCTTCTAGCCCCTGGTCAGCGCTGCAGGGGGCCTGGAGCCCATCTCAGGCTGCACAGGGTACACCCTGGACTGGATGCCAGTCCGTCACGGGGCACGCGGCTGGGGTACACCCTGGACTGGATGCCAGTCCGTCACGGGGCACGCGGCTGGNGCGGCTGGGGTACACCCTGGACTGGATGCCAGTCCGTCACGGGGCACGCGGCTGGGGTACACCCTGGACTGGATGCCAGTCCGTCACGGGGCACGGGCTGGGGTACACCCTGGACTGGATGCCAGTCCGTAACAAGGCACGGGCTGGGGTACACCCTGGACTGGATGCCAGTCCGTCACAGGGCACGGGCTGGGGTACACCCTGGACTGGATGCCAGTCCGTCACGGGGCACGCAGCTGGGGTACACCCTGGACTGGATGCTAGTCCGTCACGGGGCACGCGGCTGGGATACACCCTGGACTGGATGCCAGTCCGTCACGGGGCACGCGGCTGGGGTACACCCTGGACTGGATGCCAGTTCATTCCAAGCACATACACACTCAGATCAGCAATTAGCTTAACTGCATGTCTTCTGACTGCGGGAGTAGCAACCAAAAAGGTGGAGAACATGCAACCTTCAGGGCAGGAGGAGGATTTGGACCCCCAACCATGGAGATGTAAGGCAGCAGTGCTACCCACCAGTCTGCCCTGCTACCCAGACCCTCCCTTCCTGTCAGTCAGTCAGTCAGTCAGTCATGGGGCCCAGAGCCTACGCAGAAAACAAAGGCAGGGATTTCACCAGGATGAGGCGACACCCCATCGCAGCCAATTACTATGCTTCACACAGCAATGACAATGTATTGATTAAGTAACAGTGCATTTATTTAAAGAAAAAAAAAAAAACATGAAAATGTTCATAAATACATACACTCCGGCATACATCAGTGCTGACACCTTCTGATAAAAAGCAATACATCAGTACATCTATAAGCAAACAACAAAAGACACAATAGAGGATACAAAATATCACAGTGAAGGGAAAACAAACTGATTCTAATATGCCTGCAAAAGATGTTACAAACTTTGGTGCATGTTCATTTGCTTTGATTGGCATATTAGTAAATCTGAAGGCATCCATTTAGTGAGGAAGGATAAGCACAGAGTGCCTTATATTCACCACAGAGTGCCTTATGTTCACCACAAGCCTGATAAAATGTTTTCATTCATATTTCAACTGCTTAACTAGGACGGATTCACAGGGGGTCTGGAGCCTATCTCAGACAGGATAGGACATAAGGCGAGGGTATCACTTATATGGGATGCCAGTCCATCACAGGCAGATATAATCTACACATGATCACACATTACGGGCAATTTAAAGACGCCAATTAACTTAGCTGCATGTCTTTCGACTTTGGGGGTGGTGGGGGTGGAAGAGTACGCACTCAACACAGGGAGACAGGGAGAACATGCAAACTTCACGCACACAAAGTGGAGGCAGGAACCCTAACCCCACCCTTGAGGTGAGAGACGACACCGTTCTGCTCCTGGTAAACTCATTTCATGGGATAACCTGTGAAATTCAAGACACCTTGTTAAAAAAAAAGTCTGTGCGATAGCGAGAGAATGGACGTCCCCGTTCATTTTTTCCAAGCTGAACGTCCAGAAACCGTGCTGTAAATGCAGAACAGTGAATGCTGATCGCCATCGATGCAACTGGCTCGCATTAATCTCAAGCATTGATCTATTTAAGTAAAACAGAAAATAAATCTCAGTTCAGCTTTTTGCTGCAAGGCATTGTATATAGTTTTGTCAATCGCCATTTAAACCAGAGCATCTCAACTTACAGGCAGGATCAAGCTATCGTGTCTCAACCATATCACATTAAGCTATCAAAAGATAACTAGGATCCCACGTTATATTTACATTGTTTAATTTTTAGCTTTGAATGGTGGACAAACACGATGAATGGTAAGTTTTTGCTTTAAAAATAAAAAATACAAACAGGATAAAGTTGGACATTCTACGCAACTCTATAAAAAATATTTTTTTTTTTATCCAAAAACATTTTATCAATGTACTATATTAATATGCAGGACCATTTTCTCCTTATGCCTCAGAAAGTAACAGGCTGGAAGTGATTCTTCCCTCCTGAGATGACACCATGAGGCAGAGCTGTGCTCCACAGCTTTGCAAGTAGGAACTTCACTGGAATCAAAGCACAGATTAAATGGGTCACACTTCTCTAATGTTTCAAGCTGTGTTACTAGAGAATTACCACCCAGGTCCAAACACTGTCTTGACATTCACAAATAAAAAAGTACTCTACTGTAACACCCTGAATCCAAGCCCACGGAAATTCTGATCAAAAGTAATCATATTTGTCATTTCAAAATCAAGCTATAATGTGTCCGAAACTTGTCTCTTCTTCTCATAGGAGAATCACAGAAGTCTACATATGGAAACATCAAAATCACAGGCAAGGGATGGCTCTCGTAAAAGCTCCTCAGCACGTCAGCTACCTCCCACTGCATCACGCTCACCATCATCTGTCATGCCGCAAGATAAATTCGGTGTCTCAGAGAAGAAAAGTAGAAACCAAGATTGCATTTGCCAAACAACTGAAGACTGAAACACGGCTTTGCTACATTTGCATTTCACTATTCGAAAGAGAAACAAATTTCAGTCCTCCGATGTCATGTGACTGTAACATGCAAGATGCTGCAAACGTAGTTCGCAAGCATAAAACAAAGGACACAACTCCCTTCCCCCCCACACACACACAGATGCTCACACATACCGAGCCTTTCTGTGTCTTTCAGGTTGGAATGGCCAGTTAGATGGCTATGGTTCTCTCTGCAGTACCAATCATCCACCTGGAATTAATGTCATACAATTTTCTGAATAAGGACACTTGGAAAAATTGTGTAGTTTTGGATCAAATGCATAAAACTGCTTTGTACTGTAGCCTTGTCCAGGCTAAGATTACAAAGCACTATAAAAAAATTAAGGGAGTAGAAAAATCCTTCAGTAGAAGCAAAAAGGCCACTAAATGTTTCACCAACCAAATTCTCTGCAACCAAATACACCTCTGAGATCAGCTTCCTTATCTGCACAATGCCTGCCACCCCCACTGCATACTGGGAACCACAGCAAGCATAGCAGGATATACAGCCATATCCTATGGCAGCACTATCAGTCAGGTGTAAAACATTTCACTGCATGCCTTAGGACATATCCCACAATGGAAATGATTCCAAGGAAAGCCGCTTATGCTCAGGACAGATCTATACTATCGACGAGAATTTCAAGGGACCATCATTCCCTCAGCGATGTCTGGCAAGAAACAACTTTCAAATTCAAACTATCAAAACTCACAGTCAGCCCGAAGTAAAGTGCAAAGATGTTCTGAACAACTAGCTAAAGTGATATGAGACAAAGTTAAACACTAGAAGTTTCCTTTTGTGCAGTTTTCAATTCAATTCAACTGAATTTATTTTTATACAGCACCTTTCACAACAGAGTCACAAAGGCGTTTTACATGGGTGTGGATTCCTGCATAATTTATACAGAATACAAAAACAGGGAAAAGGAAAGACAAAGAAAGAAAGAAAGCCAGATGACAACAGAGGAGAGGAACCAAAAAATCCTAAGTAGGGAGAAAAAAAAAAACCCCAGGAGGTTGAAGGTCAACTAGCTCCCAACCCCACCCCCCGGGGCATGCTAACATTAAGGAAAAAGATGGAGTGGGCTTGCTTGCTAAAAGCAAGGTGTAAACTGTGATCAAGCTTGCAGTATTACCATCCATCCATCTTCCAATTACTTACTGGTTACAGGAAGGAGCCTTGGAGCCTATGCCACATAACACAGGGCACAAGTTAGGGGTGCACCATGGCCAGGATGCCGGACCATCATAAGACACACAGACACAATCCCTATGGGTGATTTAGAAATGACCATATGCCTAACTGCATGTCTTTGGACTGCTGGAGGAAACCAGAGTAAGCAAAGCAGACCCATACAATATGCTGAAGACCATGTAAACTCCTCAGATGCACGGGACGGACGGATTCTGTTTCAGCCATAATTTAAACCCAAAACGGTTCGGCAGCCAACAGGTTCATCATCAATCAATAGAAAAAAAATCAATAAAAGCCGGCTCCTTCAAGCCCGTGGAGAACTACACTGGAGTCTCCAAGCCTGATGAACCGTGAACAAAGACTAAGAGCTTGCGGTGTTTCTGCCTTAGAAGCAGGCTAACAACTGAAGCGCCTGTCAGGCATCTCACTCAACATGTCAGTGACAGACTGGCTGCTAACACAGCTACCTGACAGACAGGCTAATAAGCAGGGCATCGTACACACATATACGTCTAAATATGGCTCCCTGGGGCAGAGGCTATCAAACTGCATGACAAACTACTTGCAGGTCTATCTGCTTCACAGGCAGCTAAGGAACAGGTCAGTGATGTGGACAGCTTATAGCCAAGCAAGTACCACAGATGGTTTTACAGGTGAGATAGCAGATAGCAGACTGGATTAAAAGGTTAAAGGCAGATCAGTTATACTGTTTTTCTGCATGTTAGTAGCACAAATGGCTTAAAAGCAGGTTAACAACAAAGATGGTTTATAAATAAATTAGTAGCGTGGTTGGCTTAAAGGCAGGTGAGTAATGGAGTTTACGAGCAGGTTTGTTGCGTAGATGCCTGACAGACAATGAATTCATGTCTGATTCTTCTTCAAATCACAAAAAACATAGTCAAAGAGAAGGTAAAGTCAATCTGTATTAAATCTGGATAGATTTCATGCATCTCATGACTCCTCTCACTGCCAACACCAGTCCTGCAGAGTATGAGGCTTACGGCATAATGAATGGCTCTTTCTGCTGTACTCCAGGACAGTGAATATCTACATAAGGGCAGATATCTAGAAGAATAAAGCATTTTCAGCTCTGAAAATAATTACAGTGCCCCTGATTAAAATTTGCTTCATTGTTTTTTACAATGCAACTGACATTTTCTACTTAAAATGCTGCTCAAGTGAGTCAGCTATACTTTTTCTTATGAAGCTCAAAGACAATACTTAGCAGCTAAACCAGGCTTAAACTGCAATTGATATTCTGGTTTTAAGACAATTGTACATGCCTCATACTCCTTTTTAGCTCTGTCAAGTTAAACTGTGATTTCCCATAAAAATATAAGACGTAATATAAGTCTTACAGAAAAATCTTGACCTTGGTTTTCCTCCCTTACAGAGCATCTTTGCACTTCAGTTTTTTGTTGCTCAGGAGGGCAAATAGTCGAAGTCACCCTCCGGAGGGCCTAACTGAGGCACCCCACCGAGCCCAACGTCGCTGAGGGAGTGAACGTCGCCCCAGCCACCTCCACTGGCCCTCGTACAGCACTTGGTGTCAGCTGTAGCAACCCCATTCCAGATCAGCACGCGCAGCACCTCCCTTTGCCACCTGCATCTCGCACAACCCGTGACTGTAGCCACCCCAGTTTGCAACGAAAACGCAACGCGAGTCAGATTTCCGCAGTGGAATAAATTACAGGCTAAAAAACAATTCCCAACTGAATGTGTGAGCAGCAAGTTCTGCTGTCCTAGAAGCGTATGGTGATTACCACACAGTGTTTTGGTAGAAAAGTACAAATGGCTTTACTTGGGTTTTCAGCACAGGCCCAACAGCAACCCAATCACATTTCACCCGGTGCTCACCACCTGCCACTCTAAGGGTTTCTGCCCTCAAGCGATCAAAGTCATTTCCAGCCAGCCTGCAACCCTGAAAGTCTTAAACAAACTAAAAAGGACCATTAAGTAAAATAAACTTTAAAAGTAAATACCAAAACTGATTTTTTTTTTCCCTTGCAGGTTGGGATGGGCAGGGGGTTTAACTGCAAAGACACGGATGTGACTCTCTTAATGTGGTCAAAAGTTTGTTTTTGGGACCCAAGACAGTGGTGACATTTTATGAGAGAAGGGACAGTGTGCCACTGGAAAAGTAAAAAGAGAAACCAGTGGCCCTTGGTTAGCACACCCTACAAGGTCTTCGGTTTTCTAGCACGCGGTGATGTCCTGTCCTCAGACTTCATGACCCCATTGGACGCGTTTCCTGCAGGACAGAAGCAGTCAGGACAACAATCAACATCATGCCCACGCAGACCTGGTCATTTAATCTGTGACCCCAGCAATGGGAAACCCTTTCAGATGATTCTGTGGTACATGTGCAGATGTAGGTGGTGTGGTCGTTCAGGTGCTTGACATAAGTGTGTAGAACTGCCTTAACAAAATTACACAAGACTATGAGTGTGACAAACCCATAGTATGAGCACATATGTCGCGACCATGTAAAAGGTATGGTGTTTGATACTGAAGGTGATTTACATTTATGATAAATGTATGAAACGTGTGTGAAAATGCAATGATAGCCTTAAGAGACACTGACCCCTGGCCGAGTCTTTTTTCGAAGGCCTGCTTTTTGGGCTGATGGGTTTCCTTTTGGTGGCTTGGATCTGACTGTGTTCTCTCCACTTCTTCAGCTGGAAATTGATGAACTTCCACATCATCCAGGCCTGTGTCAGACAAATGGCAGCCAGGCAGCTGATCCTGCGGGGATTGACATCAATAGTCAAAGGAAAACATAGAGGAAATGCTATTGCTGAAATATTATTGCTGAATTTTTTTTTCAGTTAATGTTGGCTCTATAACTATGTGTAGATTACAGCCCTAAGGTTAGAAATACAGTGGAAACCTCTTATAGTGATCATGGTTACAGTGATCAACTGCTTATATGAATCAAAAAGCTTTGGACAGAATCATTCCTGCACAAATACTGTTTAAACAATTTGCTTCTAGTAATCACGTAGTCTGCTTACAGTATTCATTTTGGGGTCTATCAATGACAAATACAGACGTGGACAAATGTGCTTCATTTCTCCTGAAAAGTGATTCTTTTTAAAAGCAACCGTCTAATGTATACCAGCATGCCTTTAGTATGTGACTGAGTAAACCAGGGTCGGCAACCCGTGTCTCGCGAGCCACGTGTGGCTCTTCTCAGAACGACAGACGCATTCACATTTTCATGTCTTAACATATTATGATAATACTTTCGGAAATACAAATAATTTATTTATGAGTTAATATTATTTTTCATTTAGATATTTATTTAGCTATATGTGAATGAGGCGGTCCGTCGCGAGCTTCTATGATGTCTTAACTGCATATTTTACATCTTCTTCAAAGTCATTCCCTACGACGAGAGTACGTCTCCGGTCAAATGGTATACTTTCCGGAGTTTTCTTCAGTGTCCAAGATTCGATGTAGGCTTCAAAGTTTATTGGGATTCCTAAGTCTTTCATATACTTTTTGTAGTAAATCGTGTAGTAGAACGTGAGGAGGTCCTGGGTTTGGTCCTCGGGTCAGGCGTAGGACCTTTCTGTGCTCACATGCTCTCCCTGTGTTCGCGTGGGTTTTTGCCGGGGGCTCCGGTTTCCCCCCACATTCCAACAGTGTGCATTAAGTTGGCCCCGTGAGTGTGTGCGCCCTGCAGTGTGTTGGCAAATGCCCAGGGTTGGTTCCTGCCTGCGCCCATTGTTCCCAAGATAGGCGCCGGTCCCCGCCCCCACGACCCCAGTTGGGCTTAAAAGGTTACGGTGATGGATAGATGGATCATCATCATGCCTTCCCAAAATTATTATATTTTCTCCAATTTACATATTACAGGCAGCTGAGTTTGGAGTGGTGAGTATATTATGCACTGCTCGGTCAGAAGTGGAGAGTGAAGGCCAAACGATTGCAGAGCCAAACGGACTTTACTCAGAAAGAAGGGGTGAGGGTGAAGACTATCGATACAGAGCTGAACGATATTGTGATATTAGTCACCTTTGCACTGTTATGCATCCGAGTGATTTAAAACTCAGAGCCGCCCTCCCCGCCCCGAAATTGTTTTTCTTTATTTTTTGTAAGTACTTGAAGTTTTGTTTTTGTGCGCATATATACCGCCATTGCATTAAAAAATCGTATCTCAAACCCTCTTCTCTATCCATTGCGGCTCTTTGTAAATCTTGTGTCAGACATTTAGGATAAAATGGCTTTTTGCTTTAAAAAGGTTGTTGACCTCTGGAATAAACCAATAAAATTGTGAAAAGAAATGATCTGTTGTTTATTTTACAATGATATGCTAAAATAGTGTGGACAGATTTGTTGGTACCTCTAAAGACCTTTATCCTTGCATTATAGTCGTGTTTCAAACTAAGTGTTTAACCTTCATTCATGTCACAGGTGCCTTCAAGCTTTTCATCACACATTCAGCCTATTTAAAGGGAAAGAACATGCTACTGTGTTGTTTGGTATCAGTGTGTGCACGACGCATGACGAACATGGACCAGAGAAAGCAAAGGAGAGAGCTGTCTGAGGAGCTCAGAAAGAAGATTATAGATAACCATGTTAAAGGTAAAGGCTATAAGACCATCTCCAAGCAGCTTCATGTTCCTGTGACCACAGTTTCCAATATTATTAAAAAGTATAAGGTTCATGGGACTGTAGCCAGCCTCCCAGGATGTGGACGCAAGAGGAAATGCAACCCCGGGCTGATTAGAAGGGCAGTGCGGATGGTAGAAAAAGAGCCAAGGAAACCATCCAAAACCATTCAAGCTGAGCTCCAAGGTCAAGGTACGTCACTTTCGGATTGCACCATCCGTCGCATTTTGAACAATAATGGGAAGAAGAACCAGGAGGGAGGGCTCCACTATTGACAGAAAAACATACAAAAGCCAGAGTGGAATTCACCAAAATACATGGTAACAAGCCCCAAAGTATCTGGAAGAATGTCATTTGGACTGATGAGACAAAACTGGAGCTTTTTGGCCAATTACATCAGCTCTATGTTTACAGAAGGAAAAATTAAGCTTTAAAAAAAGAACACCATACCTACTGTGAAACATGGGGGGGNGAAACATGGGGGGGGGGGTAGGTTTTGTTTTGGGGTTGCTTTGCTGCATCTGGCACAGGGAACCTTGAATCTCTGCAGGACACAATGAAGCCTCAAGACTACCAAGGCATCCTGGAGCCAAACATATTGCCCAGTGTCAGAAAGCTCAGCCTCAGTTGCAGGTCATGGGTCCTCCAACAGGATAATGACCCAAAACATACAGCTAAAAGCACTGAAGAATGGCTGAGAAAAAAATTGGACTATTCTTAAATGGCCCTCTATGAGCCCAGATCTCAATCCTATTGAAGAGCTATGTAAAGATCTGAAAATTGCAGTGTGGAGACGCCACCCTTCAAACCGCTTAAGCAGTTTGCTCAGGTAGAGTGGGCCAGACTACCTGTTGGCAAATGCAGACGTCGCATTGTGAAGTACAGAGGTCGCTTGATAGCAGTGATTGCTGCAAAAGGTGGTGCCACAAAATATTAAATTAAGGGTACCATCTTTTTTTCCATGCAATTTTCACTTGTTTAATTATATAAAATACTCGACTTGAATCAGTAATCAAAAGCAAAGTCTGATTTGTGTTAAACATGGAATAAACAATAAGGGATGCCATTAAACTTTTGTCATTTTCAAGATATTTCAGAGATAGTTGTGTTTTTTTGTGGAAGGGTACCAACAAATTTGTCCACATATGTACCTATAGGCCTTGTCCATACGTACACGGGTATTTATAAAAGCATGTTTTTCTTCCTCCATTATTAAAAAGAAATCTCTGTCCATATGAAAATGCTAAAACGTGCAAGAGCATGCCAAACCAGCAGGCGGTGATATAACTCTAACCGTAAAGCCATGTTGGCCAATCAGAAGCCTTATTACCAGTTCTGCTAAGCTAAACACAGCGAATGGCGCACAAGCCAAAAACTCAAGTCTACACATCGACACAGAAAATGGAGTTTCTGAAAATCTTCACCATGTATGGGGTTTTACAAAAGCTCAGTTTTCAGTAACTTAAAACACCATTTGCATGTGGATAAAAGGCAAAAACGCAGAGGAAAAGCTACGTTTTTAAAAATTCCCATGTACGTGTAGACATGGTCATAGACTCATGAAAGCTTATGACAAACTGCCAAAAATGAGTCACTGCTTTGATACGATGTAATGCTGTGAAAATGTGCTGTATAAATAAAATTGAATTGAACTGAATATTATGTATAGTACTGTATTATAGCATATTTTAGTTCAATAATTTAATTTGTACAGTACTGTCATTTGAAAAGCATTAGAAACAGCTGTACTGTATTTTGAGATGGGCAATAAAATTAAGTAAATAGCGACGATCTGCCTGAGACATAAAGTCTTCAAACTTAGCTCAGTTATAATGATCATCCGCTTATAGTGATCAACTTCACCCAGACAGACATGATCACTACAAGGGGTATCCACTGTATTAGAATGGACCTAGACTTTTGATAGACAAATCTTGTTAGTAACTAGGTATTTTTAGTACCTGATGTAAGGTGAAAAGCAAAAATAATGTAATGATGTCGTCCTACAGACATGTACTGTTAAGAAAATGTTTAAAAATGATTACAGTCCTAAGCACGGTATCTAAAACAGCTAGAGGTTTTTCAAAGAGTTCTGTTCTTTACTAAATTGTCGAGAGACAATATAAACGAAGTCAAACGTAGCCCACTGGTAGACCGTGACTTGCCTGATAGTGAGGATGTTGAAGTTCCCCTCTGCTATAGAGAAACCCTGGTTTTCCATGCGGGACAAACCGAAGCCAAACGTGAGGACAGAGAGCGTGAGGGTGAGGAGACGGGCGATGACGAAGAGCAGCGCCCACAGAGTGAACCTGATGAAGAGGCCAACAGTCTGAACACTTGGGGCTGTGGAGTCATTGCTTCCCTGGCAAAGGCAGGATGATCCACAACACCATTCCAAAAGAAGGCAATCCACAGAGTGAACTACAGCATTCCGTAGAGTGAACTACAGCATATTGTAGAGTGAACTACAGCATTCCATAGAGTGAACTACAGCATTCCGTAGAGTGAACTACAGTATTCTGTAAACTTGCTACTTCATCATAAAGACAGTCCATAAACACAACAGGACATTTAATTTAACATAAAATCTAAATTACTAAAATTTATAAGAAAAAAGGAGACTAAAAAAATAAATTACTTTCTCATTATATAGCCTCTGTGGAAACGTCATGTTATAAGACGCTAGCATAGAATTTAACACGGGAATTTCTCAAACAAATGGCTCAAATGGCCATTGTGATAGAAAGGTGTGTGCGCTACACCTAGACGGGGCAGGGCAGTGGAAAGGCGACCAGCGGATCCTCCTTGTGTGTTGCCTGGCAAGGAAGAGGCACACGTACCCTTTTTGCTTGTTCTCGTCACTGAAGTAGAAGAGCCGGGAAGCGTGGAAGAGCAGCTCCACCAAGTAGTGTGGCACCAGCAAGACCAGTCCCAGGCGGTGAAGACTAAGGGCAAGGCAAGACGAGAAAGCATACAGTGACACAGGACTGCATGCTGGATAAACGGAAAGGGCCTCAATGTCATCTGTAACAATGCAGCTGCACGTCAGCTTCTCTATCTCACAATGTTCCTGTGAAGACTCAGGATAGAAATGCAACAGGGAAGGGATGAAATAAATGTACTACAGCTATGCTAACAGCCGATGTATGCTACCTTTGTAGCTGAAGAATCACTACAACACAGTCAATCAGCTAACATACGAGCAGTGTAAGATGTTTTCTGGCCAAAAAAAATGCGAATCCTGCAAAAGTGACTGCAAGAACTTTAAGTGTAAATTTGAGGGCTAGATCTTTCAGCTAAATGGCTTTCCTGTTGAATGGGAAGGCAAGACGAAGCCATTCACTTACTTTAAGACGTAGGCACCAGTGATGTGGAAAACGTAGAGGGAAATGTAGTACAGCTGACGTGGGATATCCTCCTAGGAAAGAACAAAGCCTTTAAAGTTGGCTCACACTTCTCTGCACACACGCAACACTCGTGCATCCGCACTGCGTGTACGGACACGGAAACGTCCGTACCTATTTGCACATGCATATAACGCATCGTAGAGGAAACACGGCATACACATGCGCACGTTGTGTACTTGCTACGTCATTCCAATATGGATATCGAGTAGGAAGAGCTTGTGCGAGCGCAGCGTGTCCAGAGCTGTGCATACACTGTCCGTACGGACACAAATCTGAAGTGCAGCAGGCCGAGGAACACGATGACATAAAACATATCATAAAAGTCCACGTGGACGCTTCCATTTGTACGAGTGCAGAGAAGTATGAACCATGCTTTACAGAGGCCACATCAACATTTGGGCAAACATTTTCAAATGTAGCTTGGTGTTTTGTTCTTGTTAAAAAGGTACTTATACAGTACCATTCAAAGGTTTGGGATCACTTAGAAATTTCCTTGCTTTTCTTCAATAGCAAGTTTTTTTTTGTCCATTAAAATAACATCAGATGGATCTGAAATACTGTGTATTGATAATGTTGTAAATGACTATCATAGCTGGAAACAGCTGTTTTTTAATTGAATATCTACATAGGTGTACAGAGGCCCATTATCAGCAATTAGTCCTGTGTTCCAGTGGAATGTTGTGTTAGCTAATGCAAGTTTATCATTTTAAATGGTTAATTGATCATTAGAAAACCCTTTTTGCAATGATAGCACAGATGAAAATTGTTGTGCTGATTAAAGAGGCAATTAAACTGGCCTTCTTTGGACTAGTTGAGCATCTGGAGCATCAGCAATTGTGGGTTTGGTTACAAGCTCAAAATGATCAGAAACAAAAAAAATGTCTTCTGAAACTCATCAGTCTATTCTTGTTCTGAGAAATGAAGGCTTTTCCATGCGAGAAATTGCCAGGAAACTGATCTCATACAGTGCTGCGTACTGCTCCCTTCACAGAGCAGCGCAAACCGGCCCCAACCACAACAGAATGAGGAGGGGGGGGGGGTCCTGGTGCACAACAGAGCGAGAGGATAAATATGTTAGAGTGGACAGAGGAAGACTGGGGAAAAATGCTATGGATAGATGAATCTAAGTTTGAGGTATTCGGATCACAAAGAAGAGTGTTTGTGACAAACAGATCAAATGAAAAGATGCTGGCAATGTGATGGTCTGGGGCTGCTTTGGTGATGGTAAAGTGGGAGATTTGTACAGAGTGAAAGACATCCTTCTTCAAGATCCCTATCACTCCATTTTGTAATGCCATGCCATACCCTATGGACGGCACTTTAATTGGAGCCAATTTCGTCCTACAACAGGACAATGACCCAAAACACAGCTACAAACTATGCAAGAATTACTTAGGTATTCTGTGTATTTTGCAGTGCCCAGCACAGTCACCGGATCTCAACTCTATTGCTGAGCTGTTATGGCCTGACTGAATGGTACGTAAGAAGTGCCCATCAAGTCAATCTAACTTGTGGGAGATGCTTCTGGAAGCACGGGATGAAGTCTCGTCAGATTGACAACAAATTGACATCTAGAATGCCCAAGGTCTATGAGGCTGTAATTGCTGCAAATGGAGGACTCTTTGACAAAAGCAAAGTTTGAAGAACACAATCATTATTTTAATTTCAAAAATGATTCCTTCTAACTTTGTCAATGACTATTCCCTATCTATTTAGCTATATTTCCTATTCAGACTCATTTGATGTATGTTTTCATGGAAAACAAGGAAATTTCTAAGTGACCCCAAACTTTTGAACGGTAGTGTACTTACCCAGTACCAGTACACTTATTTATACGTTTGCACAAAACCTCTGACCCAATAACCTTGTTTTCATGCACGTTTTGTCGATGAAGGAAGCAAGACCGACTTACCTTTCGCACTTTTTGAAAGTACAGTTCTGGCAGAGTGTGAAGCCAGTATGCGATCTGACATATGTAGAAGAATTTCACTTGAAAGCTACAATAGAGAAACCATATTCAGCCAAGAACGTACATTAATAATGCAATATAGGTAAAACTTCTTTCATGTACATGAAAAAAATTACACAACTTTCTAGACATGACAGTAGTAAAATACATCCATATCCAGCTTATATAGCTTATCAACCACTTATCTAGTCTGGGAGTCGATCCCCAGTAGCAAAAAGCAGGAAAACACACATAACCACATGCAAAGGGGACACCGCTTCAACTGACCACAGGTTTTCGGACTATGGGAGGAACCTGGGTGTGGGATTCTAACTGCTAACATACTGTGGGCTTTTAACAATGTAATACTAATTTCCAAAATTTTCTCATAAAGATCAGCGAAACGGTGTCACATACAATATTTACAATGTCACTGTAGTTAGTCTCCTGCATGATCATGAATAAACTGAGCACAGAGTGTGTAAACATTCTGTGCCGGTGTAAGCAGCAGATAAAATGATTGGCATATAAGGACTGATTCAGTCAAAATGGCATTTCTTAATCAAGTCTTTAGAACCAGCTGTCATCCTCTTCCCTTGAATATCATCCATCCATCCATCTTCCAAGCCCTTATCCAGTACAGGGGCTATTTGAGCCTACGTCAGGCAGCACAGGCCAGAAGGCTGGGTACCGACAGCAGACTGTGGGGAACCCGAAATACCAGGTGGAAACACAGAACGCGGGGAGAACACACAAACTCCACCTAGAGATAGTGGAGGCAGGATTGAACCCCTGTCACTGTAGGTGTAAGCCCCCATGCTGCCTCACTACCATAAATGCATTCATTCTTACATTACAAAACATTTCCATGTATGTGTATCAGGGCATATTCTTCATGCAATTTGTAATTTATTTCATGCGAACAGCTACACTGACTGAGAAGATTCCAGAAGCCCCAGAAAATAAAGGACACAAGTCATGGTAGTCACTGGTTGGGATGCTGGTCAGTCATGGAGAACACACTTACACACAGAATCATACACCATGGGCAACTCAGAGACACTGATTAGCCTACATGCATGTGTGTGGAAGAATACCTGCGTCACACTGGAAGAAAATGCATAAGTACAGAGCTAAGGACAAAACCCAAAACCAGCACGCCAGGAATGTAACGTTCCAGCATTACTCTCTGCTGGTTTGTAAAAATGAGAGCAAACTTACACCATATGGTTATGTGGATATCCTTCCCATAAAAACGTCGGATTTGTCGCAAAGTCCTCCTGTCAGACACAGAAAGATGAGTCAATCTGAGAGCTGAGAACAGCCTAAAAATCCATTAATAGGTTCTGCCTTATTCTGGGGCACCTTCAGTGCCACTCTTACCCCAGTCAAGATGCTACTGCCCCAGATAAAGGAAAAGAAGTAGAAAACGACAAGCTGGCCGGACTCGTTGAATTTGCTGTGCTTCGTTTTAGACAGATGCAGCCGTCGATTCATTTTCTGAAATAAGATCAGATGAGACATATGTGCTCCAGATGCAAAAAAAAATCTATCTGCAATGCATCTCCCCAAACGAAACGGCACCTGGACTTTTCAAGGACGTTTCAGCTAAACATGGAAGCAATTACATACATATATATGAGCCATAATAATGATCTTTCATATACATGCAAAGCAGCGTCTCATTAAATGGCAGCCAACCAGGGCATCATACATGCAGACCTTTGGAAACTGAGAGTAGGAATGTGGACCCAGAGTCAAATTTGACTTGTAAAGGAGTGGGAGAGAGGAGGCTGAGGAGCATGACGCCAATACGAACTGAAACAGCAGTAAGTGGTGTTTGTTCATGTCAGTGGTTTGCAAATAGACTTTTTTCTTTTTTTTTTTAAACCAAAAACAGCTACGACTGATAGAACTTCACGGCATCACTGCAGCTGCTCTGCACAATCCTGAATCCTCTTTATCAGCCAGAATATGTGGAAACATTTTCTTTTTGCACACTACTTACGTCGAGGATGTATTCTTGAATCAAAGCATGCAGTATTATAGCAATCAGCATATAGAAGAAAACAGTCGCCATATCTTTCGCTCCATATTGGTAGAAATTTCCTGGTTCTGGCCGGTCATCTGTATCCAACAAAAACACCAACAATAACAATAATAAAACTTACTGTCAGACTCTTTAGAAAGCAACAACATGTTAAAGGATTTCCAAAATACATTTCAATATTATATATAATTACATTTACACATATATTTTATGTTTCTCAATAATCTAATTATGCATTTTAATTGTGAAAATTGTGAAGAGGGGAAGAAACACATATACGTAATACCGTAAAATGTAGATTGCTCCCATAGATAAATATCGGCTTACCTAATGTGTTATTCACATTGTACTGGACTGTGATGAACATTATGGCAAACTTCGCAGTTACCTGCCAAATATTAAATAAAAAAAAAACACCAATGTTTTACTTAATACTATTACACAATCCTGAACTGGTGTAACAGCTTTCATATTTTTGGCAGAACATTAATTTTTTTTAAAGAAAAATAAAGCTAGGGTATGTGTTCGCGTGTGTATTACACGGTATTTTACTATATCACACTATCCTAATAGATTTAAACATATATGAAACATTGGGAAAGTACAGTGCAATCTATGCATTTTCATCTATATCAACCAATAATAAGCAAAAGGCCAAGCATTTTTCTTTGCTGAAAAATATTGTTTTTGACAGTTTATACCTATTTCATTTATAAGTGAAAATGTATTAATTACAACTTTGCACATTTAACGATAAACAACGTAGATACGATTCACAGGTTGACGAAGCGCAGGAATGACTCAGGTCGTGACCAGTGAAAATGTTTAATATGGCCAATTTCGTCACTCTGTGGATGATTCATAGACTCTGATGCCATAAGCACATCGGACCAAAGTTTTACAAATAATTCAGAGATGCAAAATTGTCCAGCCGTCTTGTGCATTTCACTCGCTTCACTGTCGCAACCGCATTGTTTATGTCGGGCACGTGTTGACAAGACCGTCTGCCACACGTATGCAGTTTATAAAAGTTACACCTACATTGACTTTCCATACTTCAAATAATAAAATTAAGCAGTCGATAGTCGTATGATCTGTATTTAATTGCTGTACTTATTTTTAATCGCAAATGACACACATATGTCTACACATAGATGTCCATTGAAATATTTCTTGCAATAAACAATGCAACTTAACCTGATTTCCGTGTTGAACCATCACAATTATTTGCATATTTACCGAGACAGGCAAAATATATATTAAATAACTGTTTTAAACAACACTTTTGAAGCTAGCTGCAAGAATCCCAAAGTAGTATCTACAAGCATTCTGTTTACCCATTCCCTTTACAGATTTACCATAAACCAGGTATAAACCATATAAATGACTATATAAGTTTAAAATGGGAAGATATCATTTATTACTTATCAGTGCACTCTTATTTAATAGATGGGCCTCCTAGGCTATCACTGATATACGTGAATCGGGAGGTGGGCGTTTGCGCCCAACCCCCTACGCATTGTCACAGCTCGAAGTGTTTAGCAGGTGTTGATCATTATTTTAAGATACAGTACCTCGAACATCAGTCCCAGTAGAATGATCATAGCCACACACGACACCATATCTGCGTGATTCTGGATCACGAACTCGTGGCTCAATACCGGTGGGCTCTTGTTCTTCTTACGGAAACCCATGGCTGACACGATTCTACCACTCACTACAGCACTTACTCACAATTCCAGATACTGGAGCCTTAGTCCCCTACAAAGATGGCAAAAACAGTATAATTCTGGCATGTACTCGGATGATAACCTTGCACAAACATATGCCACGCTAGTAAGTACAGAATCCGTCAGAATGAACCATTCCAGTTTCCACTCCAGACTCATTCGCGTATAGCCCACAAACGCAGATGTCCCGCCCCATAGCCAATCCACTTAAAGAGTGACGTTCATGTCAGCCTATCGGATTAAGGGAATTTCTACGTACAGGCAAATTGACCAATCTGTGCACTTGGACAGATGGCGACGCGCCGTGAGCGGAACGTTTCGCTGTAGCGTCATAAACGTGGTATCAAAAGGGGTGTTTTTGCTAACGTGCAGTTTTGGCCTTAGAGAGGTGGCAGTGCGGCTTCCTGTAGAAGTCAGGTTGTTGTGTGACTGCAAAAAAAAAAGCAACAGCAAGAACTAAACTATTTGTAGAAGTTAATCTTTCGACAATTGGCAAAATTAGGTTTCTTTTGCCCTGAAATACAAGCAGGGCGACTTTTGTCCAGCGTGAAAGTTGAAATGTTTCCCCCGTTAAATGTAGCTCGTTTAAAGTGCACGCGCCGGACAACACGAATGCGGGTAGCACTTGGTTACCGTGCTCGCAAAACAATCATTAAAAAATAAATAAACAGCGCTCATGGTGAGTTATTTGGTATTTTAAGTGCGGACGGGATCGATGCGACTTTATTGCAGGACCTTGGTCGTTTAGTTTGTCGTTATGAATGTGTGTAAGCAGTGAATATAGGTAGTTTGCCTTTTCTGGTAAGTGCTATTTGGCCGTTTTGATGTAGCAAATAAAATAAAGTTTCTCACATGTCTCTGAAGTGCTTTGCTTACCGGCTAGTCACTGACAAACTGGCTCACACTTGCATATTTCGTGGGTTCTCTAATTAATAGCGGTCTTACTTGCATAGGGATGCCCTTATCGATTCAGCTTTCGTGGAATCAAACATTATGTTGCTGAAGCACTGGAAAGCTTTTACAGCACTTTATAGCAAAACGCTCCATATAATTTCACGACCAACGTAGTAATCAAAAAAGCCGATATATTTGCTTGCTTGCTTGTTACCGTGAGGCACCCATTCCCACCTATGGGAAGACTGCAGTTAACGCTGATGACTAGATAATGCACGTATTTGAGTTAATGCATGTAATATATTTTACACGATCCCACAATACTGTGATTATTTCCTACCGTTCTCATAGTGCCTTAGAAATAAATATGAACCAGGGAATGAAACCGAATCCACAAAATACACCAAGCACGAGTAAGCTGAACGCTGATTCTCATTGCCTTAATGGTGTTTCCTTACAGACTGGTTTCACCATGCAGGTAATCTAATTGTAAACGAGTTTCTGCTAATGTGGTAAATGAAAATGAGGTATCCCGTGTCCTTCCGGAGCTGTTGTATAAACCCCCTTATATAAACGCAGTCTTAGTGGAGGTGTTAACTGCCCCGGAAACCGTCACCTTATAGTTTTTACTTAATCATGAAACAAGTCCATCCTATTTATTCGTAATATGTTACAGGAAGGTTAGTTAAAGCTTTTGTTTTTCCATTTATCCCTGGGAAAGTATTAAGGTGATACTTTTGTAATCCTGAGTAACTAGAAACTAAAAAGGAATGCCGGTTTGACAACTTTTGAAAGCCACATTGAAAATGATATCTGAATCATTAAGAAACTGGAGACATGTGAGGACTGTTTACTGCTGTTTTAGCCTGTCTGATGACAATTCAATTGGTTTTTGCTTTACAATACTTAAGATTCAGTTTTCTAATAGTTTTTTCACTAAATTTTGTCGAAACTGGTTTGCTTTTTCGTACTGTCCCATTTGTCCGACAAATCAACTGTAGGAAGACATGAATCTCCTGTGGCTCTAAGATGATGATTTATGCTTAGGAATGACACAGCTTGGCCAAACCAATATGATCTTAAGAAGACCAAGGCAATTCAATTCACACACCAACTGAATAACATTATGAAACACTTGAAAACAAATGAATGCATTATAATATGATTGCAAAGTGAAGTAATTCTATTTTCTCCAAATGTACATGTTATTGCAGCATTTGGAATGCTGTCACTGCCAGATTCCGTTTGTATTTATGGTGGTGGCGGGATTAAGTCACAGAACAAAAGATGTAGAATTTGAGAGAGTAAAGGCAATTTTTATACTGACTTAATCAAAGCTGTTGACAGGCCGTTTAATATTTTTACTGGAACAATTCAACTGGGGTTTGTCCAGGGCCATTAATTTTCTTTTTCAGACTTAGCTGCCTTCAAATAATCCTTTATTATTGCTTGTTGGTAGTGACAGCAATTCCCTATAGCAGTGTCTCCCAACCCAGTCCTCGGGGACCCTCAGACAGTCCAAGTTTTTGCTCCCTCTCAGCTCTCTGGCAAACAGTTCCCATTTTTGCTCTGGGAGCTGGGCGGGAGCAAAAACGTGAACTGTCTGACGGTCCCCAAGGACCGGGTTGGGAAACACTGCTATAGGGAATTGCTGTCTCAACAATAGGATAGAAATTATTGCTTTGGCCTCTAGAGGGCGCCGTTAACCTTAAAACCCAAAAGGCAACACTTCAATATTCCATTTCTGTATTACTTTTACTATGAGCAGAGAATGGGCAGTTTGCATATATCTTAGGCCTACATGTAAGTCACCACTGGTTTTGGAATAACCATTACTGGTATAGCATATTTGTGTGTGTGTTTTTTTATTGCCAAGAGGTATAATTCTGCAGTTTTAAAATAGATTATAACTATAAATGTAAATCTGTATATATGTGCAGACCGATAAACCAATTAAGACATCTGCCTCATTCAGCAATTGTTGAATATTATTTCTATAATTATATTATTGCTATTATAATGCTGGTAGAAGCAGTGTATCCTAAAATTGTGTTTTTTGTATGGTGTAATTTGTAAATCAAAACAAAATTAGAATTTTGGCTTTCTTTTCTATAAATCAGAGCTGTTTTTATGACTTGGAGTTTCTCCCAAAATTAATGACACTTTTATCCTTAGCATTATTTTGATACATTTTGCAATGTAACCCTATCTGAAAGCTAGCTTATTAGTGTTACAAAGTAAATATCAAATTTGTTTGAAATTCATGCTAGTTAATTTCATAATAGTGATTTTTACATAATGGATTCAAATGTAGGGTCTGTTTTAGAACCTCAGCCACTTGGTTTCAGATCTAGTTTATCTCTGCTTTCTATGTTTCTACGTCGACTGCAGTTATATTTAAATGCGAGGACAAATTCCTATGCCCAAACTCTCTGAATTTTATTATGTTTGTAACTGTTTATGTGAGTTAAAACTAAGAGTAAACAGGATATATGACCTTTATCAAGGCTTGAACCACTGAGGAACGAGTTGAGAATGCAATCAAAGATAACATTTTTAGCTTGCACTCCATTTTGATGATGCGATGCATATATTTAGACCTCTGTATTTAACCATGGTTGACACGAAGATTTTTTTAAGTTAGCATAGCAGTGCTACTTCCATATGTCACAAATACTGGGATGTTCATTCTCCAGAAAAGAAAAACATGGGTTTAATATATACCCGTTTGTACTTACATTATTATAGTGTGGTAAAAATAATTAAACTTAATATAGAGTGAGCAATACTGTAATGTTGGTGACTACATATTATGAACATGGTATGTGTGCTGCCTTGAGAATATAGAAAATAACAGAATGCATGAGGAAAATCTTGAATAGATTTCTGTTCTGTCAGTGCTCTTTAAGGCATTGTGCCATCGCTTTATGACTTGATCGAAAGGGATTGGGCAAAGAATGTTTAAACATGAGAGTAACTTATAGAGTTTATTTTATTTATATAGAAAAATGTTTGTTAATATGTTAGTATTTAGGTTGTAGTCTTGTTATTAAGCTTTTGATGATTGTTGTGAACATAACTTGTATAAATAAGTGTGTGTGTGTATATATATATATTTATATATGCACACACACACACGTATATTTTTGATATATTAGTTATGTGTTGATTATTTAACAAATTAATTTATCTCCAATACCTTTTCAGAAAATGTATATATGTATTAATAGGTTAAAATATTTTGGTGATATTGTTAGCCTTTTTAGCAAATATAGCAGTTGGTATTTATGAATAAAATAAGTGTGAAATGTGGGAATAAGATGTTGACCCTGTGTCATGTTTGGCCCCGCTTGCCCCATCCTGTTTACTGGTGTTTGAGAATTGCTGTCCTCTCTGTGGATGGCCGAAATAAAGGGAGGGATTTAGACAAAGGCCCTCTCTCCAACATGGAGGCTGCAGGCCTCTTCTGCTTTCATGTGTTTCTTCTTTTTAATTAAAAAATATGTGGGTAAAAAACAGTGAATGCAGTCGATACAGAAAAGGAATGCTGTTTTGTGGAGTTCTCTTGGGTCATTTTTTGACTACGACGGTTTAAAATGTGTATTTTGTGGTTTGGGCCTAACTCTGCCTGTTTTTTTTCTACAGAGAGCTGCTCCAGCCTGTGCTGAACAAAGATAATTACTCAGGAAGCGTTTCAGCCAATCCGCTGCGGCCTTATATCCTGCTTGTGAAAAGAGGCCATTCAGGGTCTGGCTTCCATCAGACAGCCCGATCATCAAGCTTGGAGTGCCAAGCCCTTTCTGTCTGAGGACTGAGACTGTCCTCCATGTTTTATAAGTATTGACATAACACTGTGTTAGCCATGCATCCACAGAGGTAAGCCTGATTTTTATTTCCTTTTTCCTTCCTGTACTGCTTATCTGCCGCAGAGATACAGTGTGGTTCTCGAGGAGAATGAGCTTGCCAGTCCCACTCAGCTGAACTGGATCCTGGAGAAAAGCTAAACAGGCATTCTGCCTGTGCTTTTTGGTCACATGGGTGCGCAGCCAGGATCCATAGTGTAATCCAGAGATGTGACCATGGCAAAACCTTTAATACTATCATTACTTATTAAATAATATTGAGAAACAAAACAGTACAAAAATACATTGACCATTTTCTCTTGGTTGCCTTGGTTGTTTCAGGAAGGGGGGGGGGGGGTTTCTTAAAAGGAGATTGTGAGGACCTTTGTGTGCTTGTGTCACATGCCATGCGAGAGAAAATGGAAGGTGGGGGCAGGACTCTTACAGCACAGTGGGGGCTTCTGGGGAGCCCGAGCAACTTGTTTTTTTTTCTCTGTCGGGACGTAAATGTGAGTTCCTAAGCAATGCTTGTTTTTCTTCCTTGTTTTTAACTTAAATTTCTAGGCTTTAGATAAAAGATAAAAACACCAATCACGATGAGCTCATTTGCTCAGCCCGTGTAGCAGACTCTTTCATACTGTTCCTTTTTTATTTTCACTTTTGGGATCACTCACCTTGAGATTAGCTGCTGATTCATATAAATGCTAACTGGGGCTCGCTCGCCGCCCGCTCGCCTTTTCGTCTGTTTCCTGCGAGTGGGACTGAGCCTCTAAGGGCACGTGAGAGCGAGGCCTAGCATGCCACGCTGTTCGAGATTTCACCACGATCGTAGCTTTCTCTGAGTCTCGGCTGTTTGCAGACGGCTGTGGGGAGAGTAGGGTTTCACACTGGACCCAGGAAATATAATTTCCTTGCTGAACTGCCACCAGAGAGCTATTTCTGCCAGCTGGTTTAAAAATGTGACCCCCTTCTCCCTCTATGTTTGCTTGTTTTGCTTCCCTGCTCCAAACTAGAATTTCAGCTGGGGAATAGAAGAGCTGCTGTTTAACACAACACAGATCTTGTTGTGTTTTTAGTCATTTCAGCCTGTGGAGTTTCACATTAGTAGGGCTGCTGATTTTAGTTTCTTCCAAAATGAACCTACAGAACAGGACATTCTTTCAAGCTCTTAATATGCTAGAATCTTCTGTTGTCCATGTTAATCTATTGTTTTCTGTATATTTTGTTCATATGAATTTCTGCAAAGTAGTGTTTGACAATTTCCTTTATCATGTTTAGATATATTTATGTGAAACTTAAGCATTAGTGTTTGATACAGTAGCAGGCTTTTACGTGAAATAGTTATTGTAACTGGTAAAATATTTTCCATAATTAGGGCTTATGTATCCATTGCTGACTTCTGCTGATCTATTTTTGATCTAGTGATAATGTACTAAGGAAATTACATCAGAACTTTGCCTCTTTTTTTCTTTTTTTGAAGTGCTGGTGGTGTTATTTTAACCTGTGTTCTATATTTATGTTGATTATTTAGGACCCTAATTGGTTTTAGCATTGGTGTTTTTACATTATTATTTTCAGGTTTTTTTTGTCCCTGAATGATTCTGCTTTTAATTCAGTAGGTATACTAGTGTTTGTGCTTGAAAGGATCTGTTCCTTCTTTTTAAAATGGACACCGGAACATTATCTTTTGGCTCGCACTCAGATTATTTTAAGAAGGCTGTGCAGAACATTCCGTGGATGTCTTTTTTTTTTTTTCTGTACCTTTCATTTAATTCGAAAATTCTCAGACTGAATATTTGTATGTCGGCCTGAAATGATTGTTTAATTTGTGAAGAATATCTGCATTGCAGCAAAATGTCTAAGAGAGAGAAGGTAGCAATGAGCTGTGTGGCACAGCGCAGCCGCCCAATCAGACCCCTCCGTGCGGCACTCAAACCAATCGCTGCCACAGCCGAGGTTAAAGATTGACAATTGCAGTGTAGCAGCAGGGAGAGCAAGGCCCTTCTGGAAAATTCTGCAACCATCTTTGTTTCATCCCATCCAGCCAAATTTTAAAGGCCAGGGTGAAGAATTGTCTTGTTTATTCTGTGCATTAAGACAAGGTATGCTGCTATGTGTCAATTTTCTTCATTCAGGGATGTTATATGGTGAAGCAGTTATGATAATCTTATTTTATGGAATGTCTGAGATATGGGGCATAAACAGGCTCTGCGTTCTCCACCGTGGGCTTTAGCTGCCTGTCCTCGAGTGGGGTGAATGTTGCTGACGTTGAAGGTGTAACCTGTTATGTATCTGCAGACGTGTCAGCCAGCACGGCTCCTGTGTCTGTTGTTGTTGCTGTGTTGTCATCTCCCACAGACGTAACCCTCTGGCTTGAGTCGTGGAGACTTTGGGGTTATGTGCACTGCTGCTCCTCCACCAAGTCTAAGCGTCCCAGGAGGTCGATTCCCATCTGGAGCTAAAACCAGATGAAACTGAACATTTGTTCTGCGACTAGTCTTTGAGGTTCCCTATTTGAAATGAGTCATTTTTTTAAAAAATTCTTTTAAATATCTACTCTTTATTCCCTTGGGAATGTCAAATGCTGAAAGGTCACATTTTGCAATAAAAGGAACACCATTTTATTTCAGATTTTAAATGTGCTTGTTGAAAGCACAGAGGTGCATGCAGTGGAGAAGGAGCTGGTGTGGGGAGAGGACAAGCTGATTTTCCAGTGTGCAGCTTCTCCCTCTCCCTCTCTCCATGGCTGCCCGGATGGCCTCTGCCGTAGTTTGGATCTGTTTTTTTTTTCTCCTCCCCCATCACGGCTCTAATCTTTTCGACGCTGCTCTGTGTTTGCATGTGCCAGCACCTGCTTTCTGACACCAGCTACAGGGGTGGGGGGGTGTTTTGTCTCCATTTTTTACGTGGACAGTGATCTCCAGTGTTGAATTGAGTTTTCCCTCCGAATCCAGGGTCTGTTGTTTTAGATTTTTTTGTCCCTCTTTGTCTCCCTGGAATACTTGATCTTTTTTTTTTTTATAATCTGAGCTTCGAAGGCCTACAGTGGTGCCTCTGCACATTATGAACATGTTGCTTCAAGAATCCTGTCCTAGATTCTCCTGCAAATATTCTTCACCTTGTATCATCTGAATTTTTGGTAGGAAAGAACATGCACTTCCTTTTTGAAGCAGCAGGCTTAACAGAGATAGTCTGAAATGTTTTAAGGTAGTCCAAAGGACAGGAAGGAAGGTCAGTATTTTGTTTTTTCTTTGTGAGAACAGAGTTATGTTAATTTCAGAAAACTCTTAGCTGATTTAGTGTCTTAAGTGAAACATTATGTTCTTTCTAGAATTACATGTGACTTAAAGGTTTTGTCATCCAAAGAGTCATTGAAGATGTATTGCTTTCTGCTACCTTTGGAAGTGTTGGCCTTGTGATATTTTGAATAGCATACTTGAGTGTAAATGTTTAAAATTGCTACAATGGTTCAATGATCAAATATGATCATGCTCTCTCTATGCCACAGTAGCCTGCTGGTGATGTCACTTATGTTAGGTAAAAACACAGTGCGCTCAGTCTACACAGTGGTAATCTTATGATTTTTATTGTGGCTGTATTAATTTGAAATACAAGAAAAATAAATCGAATACCAGATGTTTGGTTTTCGTAGCTACTTCTCCATTCTGGCTTGACCATTTAATATGGTATGAGGTTAATGGTGGTCAACTTCCACTTCACACATCCTGTCTATGCCCTGGTGTTTAGTACAGTAATGGAGAGCTTCTCTGAAACCAGCATTATTCCAGGTGGGCTTGAAGCTATGACCCTTATGGCCTCAGCTGGCACGGCGAATGTGCATCTGCGACAGCTTGGAGTTTGTTTCTGACTGCAGGAGCCAGAATTGAAAAACGTGACAAAACTGCTTCCATGATGTAATTTGGCAAAAGATACGAATAGAAAATCAATGCTTTGAGGATGATGGTCACTTAGCTTTTGTACAGATGAAACTGCTTGGAACCTGACGATGTTCTTTGCTGGCCACTGTTAGAGAGCGGAAGGAGAATATGCTGACTTTGTATATTTGTTAAGGAAGTGCACATAGTCAGTCACATTTTTAATTTTTTGAGAGAGTATAATTGCTGTGAGATGTCCATGTGCTCTATCCTAATGCTTTTGCCAAGGTGGTATAATTTTCTCTCTTCAGAAACGGGAGTGTGGGTTGTGGGGCTTGTTTTCTCATCAGGGTGTACACACTGTCAGTTAGACATGAATGAGTTTTCCTTCCATCAATGAGTACATTGTGCCATGACGACAACGTTCTCCAACCCAAAGGCCTTTCATCCAGACCATTTGAAACCGCAATAAAGCAGAACGCCTAGTCTACATATTAGTAACGCTTTATGAAGGGTCTTATTAAAAATTTGTTTTTGTTTTAACATTGTGCAGGTCAGTAGCTACAAATATCTTTTAGGTTGGGGAAAAAAAAACAATGTCATGGATGTTTCCATTCCACAGTCATTTCTGATCCATATTGCACAGGTTTTATTTCCTTGCATGCTGTGGTTTGTTACATTGTATTATCTGTCTGTCTTTGCAACTATACACATGCACTATTTGTGGAGGCTTTAATGGAAGCTGGCACAGAAGGTCAGCAGGCAGCTCTGCCTCGAGTGTCGTCAAGCACCATTGCTATATGTGGCTTTTGCGTAAGCTTTGCCCCAGTTCTCAGATTTCCTTTCCCAATTTGAAGATGGGCTGTTCTTATATACATGTGTGTCCGCACGTGTGCACTCTGTCATACCCTGGATTGGCATGACCTGTATGCAATAAGCTTTTGAAGATTGATGGATAAAATAATCCAAGGAAACACTTCTGCTTAAGCATTTTCTTCCCTCATTTTGTACTGCTCTCCGCAAATCCAATGGTTTGTGCACGATAATTAGCAAGTGTATGTGTATGCCTAATTTGGTTTTTGCCTCTGCTTTAGAAACAGTTCCTTTATGGTATGAAACCCTGGGATAACTTATCAGATCTGGTCACTGAGTTTAAAGGTTAATTCTGGATGAGTTGCTCTGATCGCCATGTCTTCAGTGGATGTCTCTCCTGAAGCACATGAATTAGGGCTGGGCGATACAACCTCAAATCAATCACGATTAACTGAACAATTTACAATTAATGGACGATAATTATCTTATTTCTTGCTCTCATATTTCACTAGGTTTGTACTGTAAATATGTTCAACTTTTAAAGCTGGGATATTCTAATGAAGACTATTTCTATGATATTTAAATAATTGAAGGAAACACACACAGATGAACCATTCGTGGCTATTCATTGAGTATTTCAAAGAACTTGAATCAAAGCAGAAATCGCTTGAAATGAAAATGTCTTGTGAAAAAGATCTCATTTTAGTTTTAATGTAAAAGGCGAGTTCCCTGAAAAAGTAGAAAATAGTTTGCATTTCTTGCAAATAAACATTGTCTGTCAGGGTAAAATTGATTGACTATAAGTGGATGATCATTAATCGATTTTTTTTATTTTTTTTTCTTTGTCTCAGTCAGATTACAATCTAATTCACATTTGTATATTTCTTACACGAATATAAGGTAATAAAATGGAAAGTGTTGCTATTTTTTGATTTCATAATACAGCACAGTTGCTTCAAATGCTTTTCAAATTACAGTACTGCACAAATTAAATTACTGAACTGTGTATAATTCAAATACACTATAATACAGTACAAAACTGTACATAAAATATAGCTTATTGTAGTTTTGCTACTGCATCTCGTTGGCTCGTTTTTGGCAGTTTATCATAAACTTTGAGTCTATTTGTCATTGAGAGAAAATGACTTTCTTTTTCCCATCATGTTTACTGTTCTTGTAGCATTAGCCTCAGGTAGCCTGGCTAGCCGGAAGCAGATGGGTTACAGCAGGGCAAAGTAGGCAAGTACGAAAAAAAGAATTACCATAGTTTTAATTTTCCATATTTTATGTATAAAAAGACCCAAAATGAACACGAAGCGAATCACTTAATTAGTATAAGCAAATTATTTAAACTATATTTGTACAGGAATGATTCTGTCCCAAGCTTTTCGATCAATATAAGAGGTTGATCACTATAACTGTGATCACTATAAGTGGTTTCCACTGTATTTTAAATATTATTTGTTGAAACCGATTGGTGGTATTACCTTTGGTAGCTGAGACTGTTTTTTCTCAGTGTTTACATTCAATCTCTTTTTATTTGGTGTCATCTTCACTAAAGCCACAATGTGTGCAAATGACGGACGTGGCATCTTTCTTAGGTACAAGCCGCTGGAGATGCTACGTTTGCTCTGTGTTTGAGTTCTTCCTGTTGCTTCCATGTCACAGACTGGTCAGGGTGGAGTCACGTGACCGCACACGCAGTACAATGTTTTTAAGGGGACAGTACATTAACACACCCTGGAAAAAGTATTAACAGAATTTAAAAACAAAATCGAAGTAACAGACAAGATTTTGTCGATTTAAAGGTTCTGAATGTCGGTTTTGATTCGTTTTTCGATTAATTGTCCAGCCCTAACATGAATTCTGCTGAGGTGGAGGAAAGGTTCCATTGTTGCTATGGAGATACTCTCCTGAGGTACCAATGGAAACACAAACACATCTGAAATTTCAAGTTAGACACTAATTAACCAATTTAATAACTGAAAAGGTTAACATGTTGTCTGAAAGAGCTGATGGAGCAGTCAATGTCTGAATCAAATGTGCCTCTTGAACCCATGCAGATATAAAAAAAATAAAAAATAAAACCTGTTCTCAAGGGGACCACCTCACTGGCCTTGTCAAAGGTGTTTACAGCAGCAGGGATTTTAATGAACTGCTTCTGAGATGACACTTACATTTGCTCTCCCTATTTTGTCGCAGCTTGGCTGAAGAAGAAATAAAAACGGAGTCGGATGTGGTAGAAGGGATGGACGTTTCCACGCGATCCAAAGGTGAGGAGAAAGCAGAGAGCCACTTTATGTTGATGTCTGGAAGATGGGCTGAATTTTCTTAAAATTCATTGTAAGCTCAGCCTAGCTACATTATGCCTTGTTGACTCCTTGTCGGCATGTTTGTCTGCAACGTGCTGCTTGCCTCACTATATCGCTAAGTGCTAAATGTAAAATGAACCGTTTTGGATGTATTGCAGTTTAAAATATTATTATTAGGTGTGGTTCTGTTTAAGCTCAGTTTGCCAACATCTGAACATTGCACTACATTACTATTTAGATGGGGTTTCCAAGGTTCATGTGCTGCAGATTACTCTCTCACACATGTATGCATGCACCTGGCTCTTGGCGATCTTATCTTTCTGTCTGTGTGGCCCTTCTTACCAGCTGTGTGGTGATAATGAATCTGATGACAGAATCTTCATTGCAAAGTAGTTTGCACCTTGCTGCCTGTACCTCTTGCCCCTGTTCCACTTCTGAGTATTGAAAACCAGCTGTATGCTACTTAATATCTTTATTTCCTCTGCTGTTTTTTTTTTTTTTTTTTAAATAAGATGCAATTTTTCTTGAAGGTGCAATTGCCAATGTGTGACACGAGACCAGATTCAGTGCAAAATTCTTCGATTCTGTAGTGTGGTGTTCAGCAATGAAAAGGGCTGCTTTTTGAATTAGTTTTCTTTCTGCATGTACAGTATCCCTCAGTGTGGCTTCTCACTTTTTCAACAGGATGTGAGAACATCTTTTTTTTTCCCCTAATCTGGTCAAATTTTGGAGGGCAGCTGGTGCAGTAAACGATTCTGCAGCCTGGTGTGGAAAAACAACTAAACTGAATGTTCGTTTGTGAAATATTGCTGTATTACGCATAGTGTTGGGACAGACATGCTGTTGACACGTTATGTCATGACGTGTTATGGGTGGTATCTTCTTGGGTCCTTGGTCAAAGTTGGGGCTGTGGTTCCCCACCTGAGCTGGAAATGTTAAGCACTTGCTAGTCAAGTTGTAGGATTTGAAGACACCACATGATAATATCAGGGTAGACTATTTTTTTTTTTTTTTATCCTCTTCCTGAACATACCTAAATTAAGCATAGCGTGTCTGCGTACATCGTGCTGATATTTTTTGATGAATGTGTGTCAGTTCCGCAGCTTTACTTTTAAGCTTTAAATCATATTGAGAAGGAAAAAAGGTAATAAATATATGATGTAACAGGAATGGCCAGGAGTAGATTTTCAGGGGCAGAGCGGTTTGGAGCTGCTTTTCGGACCTGGCCGTCTGGTTGACTGTGATTTTCGAGCAGCAGGTGGGGAGGGGGAGGTGAGGCCGCTGGGCGCTGTGACATGACCGTGAGGCCGTCTGCCGTTTCAGATCCCAGCCTGACAGAAAGGGCAGCACAAAAACGAAAGCCCAGTCCTTCCCACTCATCCAATGGGCACTCGCCTTCAGAAATGTCACCCAGCCCCATCAAAAAGAAAAAGAAACCGGGATTAGTAAACAGTAGTAACAAAGACCAGGTAAGCCAGTACTAACCATTAAGCAAATCCCAACTGCATTGAAATTCATGGAGATATATCCATACGCTTACCTTGCATTCTATTCACTGCTTTTTAGGTGTGTATGAATATGATATGTGATTTTTTTTTTAATTTTAGAAGTATTAATATATTCATTCCCCATTCATATATTGAGCCCAAATCTATAAATGTTAACAATCAAAGAAAATGTTACCTTTAGGTTACCTTTTTTTGTGTGTATGTGCATCTTTTTTGAGCAGCAATATTGATGTAGTTTAGTTAATTGTGATATCAATTTGTTGTGTACACATTCCCTTTTGCATGAATAAGGCTTTACCACACATTAGGTCAGAATTTGAATAAAGGCCCCGACTGGCTTTCATGTTGACATTAGCAGCTAAATGGCTAACTAAACAGGCTATGTGGTTTGGGCATGTTTAGCTTGGTAAAGGTCAGTGTCATGCAAGAAGGTAATGGTGTTTGCCAAATACAGACTAGGCCGTGGCAAACCGAGACACACCCTGCTTCTGCTGCACAGTGGCATGCAGTTTTGTGCTTGCTAATCCCCAGCCACGAAAGTCTGTATTTTGCACCACGCTCAGTTTTGTCTTGAATGCTTATTGTGCTACCTCTCTAAACCCTTGTGTTTTGAAACCCCACCTGTTTCTCTTGCCTGCATTTCAGTCAGAGCTAAGACATGGTCCCTTTTACTATGCGAAGCAGCCACTCACCACAGACCCTGTTGATGTTGTGCCGCAGGATGGACGGAATGATTTCTACTGCTGGGTGTGCCACCGAGAGGGCCAGGTGCTCTGTTGTGAGCTATGCCCCCGGGTGTACCATGCAAAGTGCCTGAAACTGGCCGCCGAGCCTGAGGGGGACTGGTTCTGTCCCGAGTGTGAGGTACTCTCTCACTTCTTGAGCAGTCTCATGTCGGGCATGTGCCTGTCCAGCTGTGTGGGAGGCCCGAGCGGCAGTGTGGCCAAACACAGCACTGCAGGCGCCACCTGCAGGCCACGCTGGATATGATCTAGATTAGGGGGCGTCTTTGCTGGCTCTGCAGCAGTGATCGGCTTCGGCTCTCTGTCTGGGTGTAGAATTTTAGCGTGGCTCAGCGAAAACGGCCGAACAAATCTGCTTGGGTTGGTTTGGGTGGTGCCCTGTGCCCGAGCTAGACTTTGTTGGCCGGTATTACACACATCGTGTGTTGCAGCTTTGCTTGGCGCTCTTTCTGGTAAAAATGCATGCTTTCTATTGTTGTTTTGCATTTAAGGTTTCATGAAACCTATGATTTTTAATCAAGTTGTTATTTTGTTTTAAATTAAAAAGTAAACACTTTTTGCTGAAAGTGTAATCTGAAGAATGATTTTGAATGTTTTTTTTTTTCTGCTAGTCTGAAACCTGGATCATGAATTATGGGATGTTGCAGAGTGTAAAGATGTACTTTCCCATCTTGCCTTTCAGAAAATAACAGTTGCGGAGTGCATAGAAACTCAGAGTAAAGCAATGACCATGCTAACAATAGACCAGCTGTCTTATCTGCTTAAGTTTGCGCTCCAGAAGATGAAGCAGCCTGGGGTAAGTGCAGAGGCCGAGCGTAAAGACCAGGTCTTCCGCAGCTCTCCGGCATCTCTGAGGTGCTGCTCCCATGCTCAGTGGGACTTGACCGTTTTTTTGTCAAACAAACCAACATGGCCTCTAAGGACTTCTTCATTTGAAAGCAAAGTGTTATTACCAAAAAGCAGTTTCCAAACGCAGGTCTTGCAGAAAGACCAGTGTCTTTTTAATGTCCTCTACCCAAACGATTTGCTTAAGACCTGTTTTCCAAATTTCCATGCTGCACTGCACCCAGATGCAATTGATGTGTCATACTCTGCATTGTCCAAGACACCCTTCAGAGAAGGTCCCCTTTGAATACTCGATGTACACTAATAAACTAGATTAGCTGTTGTTTTTTCAGACTCCCAGTTCCAACAGCTGATTTCACCCGTCTGTGAGTTTTTACCTGGGGCAGCAGTGCTATCCTTCACATGTACTTGTATATGGGGAAATAAATACTGGTGTCCTGATTTGATTGTTATTCTGAACAACAGAAAGCAACCTATTGTCTGGGTAAGGCACTTAGGTTGGCCATTATCGGACAAATATTACAGGAGGCTTTAATTTGTTTTGGACATGAGAATGAGACGTGGGGCAAAATGTTTTACACAACAAATCATTCTCCCCTTATTTTTAACAAAACGTTGCACACATTCCTGAAAGTGGGGTTTTCTGTTCACTGCCATTTCCCCCACATTCAGAATAGGCAGTAGAGTAACAATCACGGCCTGACAGACCATGGCCTATAGAGGGCGTATCACCCATGCTAACACATGGCCGTCTTCAATTTTGGGGCGATTTCCGGCCAGCGAGCTGAGAGCGATGCTCTGCAGACTTTAGAATGGTGAGCCTGCGGTGGGTGGGTTAGAATTTTTGTGCGTGGTGGTTGTAACAGGCTCTGATTGTCCCCACTTAACTACCCAGACAGTGGGGTTGAACACTCTTGTCTGGTTAGGAAAAGCTCTCCTTGCTCTCTTTCAGGATCCACCTCGCTCGTCTCTCTCCCCCCACGCAGCCGCCCAGCAGAGAAAACCTATTAATTGGGTAAAAAAAAATGACATATTTACGCTATATCCGTTAACATATCCGGAGTGTTCAAAGTTGCAAACTGTCTGTCCAGATTACCAACGTGTGCTGCTGAAATGTGATCGCACTGATTTCGTGGCTTGTGTGTTAATGTGCTGGATGCCTTCTCTCCTTCCCATATCCACCCCCCCCCCCTTTAGACTGAACCATTTCAGAAACCTGTATCACTAGAGCAACATCCAGATTATGCAGAATACATTTTCCATCCAATGGATCTCTGTACATTAGAGAAGGTATTTGGAGGAAATATCCATTAAATTTATTCTGTTAAAGGAATTTTGATGCTTAACTAATTTTCTGTTAATTTGCCCATAGAATATAAAAAAGAAAATGTATGGCTGCACAGAAGCCTTCCTGGCTGATATGAAATGGATATTACACAACTGTATAATTTACAATGGAGGTAGGTCAGGAATGAATCGCACCAAAAAAGAAAATGGAGGCTTGTGAAAATTCTCATTGATAATTGTCATGTGTTCCCACCAGGTAATCACAAACTTACAGCGACAGCAAAAGTCATTGTAAAAATCTGTGAACATGAAGTGAGTACTTCATTTACTGGTAGAACAATTTTGTGAATGCTTCTATCAACCCAGAATATCCATTTTAAGTAGAAGTTCTGTAACCATCAACTCACAAATTTGTATGTATGTTTCTTTTTTTGTAGATGAATGAAATTGAGGTTTGTCCAGAGTGTTACCTATCATCTTGCCAAAAGCGGGAAAACTGGTTCTGTGAGCCATGTGTAAGTGTGCAACTTCACATTCTGCTCCTCATTGACGTGCTGGGGGGGGTGCACATACTTCAAGGTTGGTGCATACAATGTGAAGAAGAGCTATTTGGCTAATTTCCTCCTGTGCTGTTGTGTTTAGAGCCAGCCCCACCCTCTGGTGTGGGCGAAACTTAAGGGGTTTCCATTCTGGCCAGCAAAAGCTCTGCGGGATAAGGATGGACAAGTGGATGCCCGTTTCTTTGGGCAGCATGATAGGTAAGTAAACCTGTTCGTGTTCAAAATCACTTTGCAAGTCTGTCCAGTTTTTAAGTCCATTTTACTCTTATCATGACAATTACTCTGTACTTCGTCATCTAGGTATGTAACCCAGTTTAATGGTCTATGTTTTTGCTCCCTGCCAGACAGTCCACATTTTTGCTCCCTGCCAGACAGTCCACATTTTTGGACTAGGTTGTGAATGACTGATCTAACGTAATCTTTCCCCCGCAGGGCCTGGGTCCCCATAAATAACTGCTACCTCATGTCCAAAGAGATCCCTTTTTCTGTGAAAAAGACAAAGAGCATCTTCAACAGTGCCATGCAAGAGATGGAAATCTACGTAGAGAATATTCGCAAGAAGTTTGGAGTCTTCAACTATGCTCCGTTCAGGACCCCCTACACACCCAACAATCAGTTCCAGATGCTACTGGACCCCTCCAATCCTGCGGCTGGTGTGGTCAAGACTGAAAAACCTGAGAAGATCAAGTTTAACTTTGACATGACGGCCTCTCCCAAGATGCTTCTGAGCAAGAGCGTGCTGTCAGGTGGCACGAGTAGGCGGATCTCGCTCACGGAGATGCCCCGTTCTCCTATGAGCACCAACTCCTCTGTGCACACAGGCTCTGACATAGAGCAGGACATCTCCGACAAAAGCATGAAAGTCATGCATGGTCACTACAGCACTGGTGAAGAGTCCATGGACTGCACAGGTACAGTCCTCTCTGCTGTTTCGCTGTTTGTCTCTCAGTGTAAAAGGACCAAAGGGACCCAAATCGGTTAATATAGCATGACAGGAAAAGTTCTTACATTTTTGCATGCACTGATATCAAGAAGACCGCTAGTTTTGCTGTAATGCACAGTAGAATATAGATTAATAAATAAATACAGTATAAAAGTAATTAAAAAAAATTACATTGAGGGGAGCAAATGTCCTCACAATGTGACAAAAATCTGTGACTTTGATGTTGTGGGGACCTCCTTTTTGGTCCCCGCAAGTACGGCTGGATAATTATCGTGATATCATTTCCCTTGATGTTGATATGCCAGATGCTTGATGAAAGTTCCATATAATTTAAGACACAACATGTTGCTGGTGACACACTTTGCATCACAAAATTAGGTCACTTTCTCTGTGACTGCTTGTCAGGACAAAATGCAAACACAGCTATAAAACCGGGAGTTTATTGAACAAATAACAGAATACAATAGGATTTCAGTCTATGTGAAATCCAGACAGTAATTGGAATCAGTAATCAGGAGTAAAAATCAGCCTTTAAACTGAAGAGAAATAATAATATACACAATAATTATCGATATTGACTGATATGAAACTTTATTGCGATTTATTCTTTGGCCATGTCGCCCAACTCTACCCACAAGAATAAATATAAATATGTGGACTGTGTGTGTGACAGAGAGAGAGAAGCCCCAGATGTATTTATAATATCACATGTGAAGTCCTGATTTCCACCCTTCCCCCGACTGACTGGGTTTATTATGAAAGAGCATTTGTCTGCTGCTGTGTATTATTCAGCTGTAAAGGCAGACTTTTTAAAGTCAGTGATTTTTGGCATTAATCTCTGCATAATTCTTTTTTGTGAAGGTAAGACATGGAAGTTTCATTGTTATTACAATATTTTTAGCACTTAATTGTTAATATGAAAAAGTCTACAGTCAACATATGGAGGACCGTGATCTTAATGTTGTCTAATGATGTATTTAGTAACTAAATTTTATTATATATTCTGTGGGGGATATATTATGCTCATGTTTACATTTGCTGCAAAAACAAAATATCAGCATAGACCTGACAGAGCTTTGGGCTATCACGAGCTTCGGTTTACCCTGGTACGTTGGTATCGATTCTTCAAGTGTCACCGACTGCTTCATTCTGAAATCTGGAATTTTGTTGCTGGTGGTAAGGTGGGGGTGCTGTCTTCAAAATTACCCATAGGTATCCGCTTGGCTGGGACAGGTATGGCAATTGGCGTAATGCTTTTATGCTCATCAGGCCATTCTGTGACTACTTATCCAAGAAGATTTTGTTTCCTTGCAGCTAGAATTGTTTATGCTTAGGGTGAATGTGTTTTTTGGTTTGATTTTAAGCAGCTAGCTTTTTAAGAACATAAGAATATTACAAATGACAGGGGGCCATTCGGCCCATCAAGCTTGTCTGGGGAGAACTTAAATAATAGCTGAGTTGTTAAAACTCTTATCTAGCTCTGATTTAAAGGAACCTAGAGTTTTAGCTTGTGCTACACTAACAGGGAGACTTTTAAGGGGATAAGTGAACTTAAATAGTGTCAGCCAAGACAGTTGCAGGTTCTGTACAACTTCTGTGGTTAGTGTATCTATGGTTAGGTGTACTAAAGGGATTTTGAACCTGACATAGTTACCCTCCTTTTAAGGTTTTCAGCTAGTATCTGATCAAGTTAGCTGCTATGCCACATGAAATAAGTTTTGATCATTGAAGATTCTGGCAAGTCACCCATCCTCGTTTTCAAAATCACTGAGCTCTAGTCATGGTAGCTAAGATAATGGGTAGCTGGGCTTATCCAGTATGGTTATACATGGCACAATGGGATGGTATTTGCTTAACTTAGGAAGCACAGCAGTGTAGACGCTTCTACTTTTAGTATGTGCCGTTTTTAATTTTATTAAAACAATTATTTTTATTGTATTGGTTCATTGTATTGTAGGTTGTAGTGAGTGATATCCCATAGATGGTGCAGTGCTTGGTATGTTAAGTTGGGCTTGTGACTGACGGGTATGATTGTGGTATGTCGAAAGCCCAGCTGTTCTACTCTAACTGATTTGGTAAATCTCTTCAGCTATAAAAAAAAAAAAAGGTATATCTGTAAGCAAATCTAAATAATTTTAAGATGTCCTGGGAGTATATTGCTTAGCAACAGTATACCCATTTCTTAATTTTATGTTGTTAAAATGATGCTGTCTGTCGTCATTCTATACAAAAAAAAAATTGTGGACCAGATTGCTTCCTGTTCTACAATGAAAATAAGTCCATTGCTGAGGTGAACTTCATTTTGAAATATCTGCATTTCCACATTTAATTTTAGAAGTTGAACTCCTTTTCCTTTACAGCTTCTCCGGCTTCTGCAAAGACTGGGCATGCGGGCAGTGTCACAGGCAGTCCCAAGACGTTTTCCCCACAGGCTTCCACACCTATTGCCCCCAAGCAGGAGAGAGCGCCCCCTACTGGGAGCATTCTCAATCTCAATCTTGGTGAGCCTCTTCCTCCCCCATACATAGTGCATCAATGGCCCGGCATTTAGCACCAGTGTTTGAGCATCTACGTCAGTTGCCAGTGTAACTGCTCAACTTAAACATTTAGTATTGGGGGAGAAAAAACATTTTTTTCCCTCTGCTTCTCCAGATAGGAGCAAAGCAGAGATGGACTTGAAGGAGCTGAGTGAGACCGTACAGCAGCAAACGGCACCAGTAGTGCTGACTTCACCAAAGAGGCCCATAAAGCGCCATTTTCAGCTCAACTTGGATAAAACCATTGAGAGTTGCAAAGCACAACTTGGTATGTACATTTACCTGTGAAAGAGAACAATTTGTGGTGGTATAATTTACTGATGCCTTTCAACTACATCTAAATTCCTTTCAGTAGTTTTGGATTATTATTTCACTCTGAGCAGGAATCGATGACATTTCTGAGGACATCTACAGAGGCGTCGAGCACAGCGATTCGGAGGACTCTGAGAAGTCTGACTCCAGTGACAGTGAGTACATGAGCGATGAGGAGCAGAAGGTGAAGGACGGCCAGGAGGAGGCTGACAAAGACCAACCTGAAAAGGATTCAAGGAAGAGGCCCAGGGTGCCATCTCAAGGAGAAGGCGAGAGCAAGCTGGATGTTCCATCTAAGAAAGCGACGTCTGAGGTGCCAGCGGCGAAAGAGAAGCCGGGCGGCGATGCTGATAAAGAAGCTTCTGAGAAGAGCAAGATGCTCCAGCACCCCATTAAGAAGGAGAAGGAAGGGCCGTCCTGCACCACGGGGCTCGACATGGACTCGGACTCTGAGAGAGAGCTGGTAATAGACCTTGGGGATGACCAGGCCAGCCAGGAGCACAAACGGAATAAAAAGGAGCCAGCAGCAGCCACGACACCCAAGGACCCAGTTGTCCCTAAGACTGAAGGTGAGAGGCTGTTCGTACAGATGTTGAGTCTTGAGAGAAATAATCAACAGCTGCTTGTCATTAATTTTAGTAAATGGATTATTACATGGATCCAGACTAGATTGTATGCTTGTGGATCTGTGTGCTTAATTTTGTATAGTGTTGTGTTTTTGAATGTCATCTAGGGTCGTGGTAATGTACTTTGCAGGTAAACCCCTTTCAACCTGTAGTGCAGCACCTCCACCCTCGAGCGACACATCCTCCTCTGCCCCCAGTGTGAAAGACCCTACTCGGTCCCCAATTACCATCCCCCTCAACGTGGTCTCCTTTGCTGCCACCCCCACGTCCAACCTGCTGCCCAACACGGCCACCACTGCAGGTTCCTCGCCAGCCGCAGCAGCGGCACCGGCCACTGTAAAGAAGCAGCGGCCCCTTCTGCCGAGGGAGACGGCACCTACCGTGCAGCGCACGGTGGTGTGGAACCCAGCTGGAAAGTTCCAGACTTCCTCACAGAAGTGGCACATGCAGAAGGTCCAACGGCAGCAGCAGAACCAGCAGCCAGCTGCGCAGTTACAGAGTCCCCAGGCCCAGACGCCCTCACAATCCCAGTCCTCGTCTTCCTCAGTGTCCTCTCCACAGCAGCCTTCCTCTAGCACCAGATACCAGACAAGACAGGCTGTGAAAGGTGCTTTAACTTTTATCTCGATTCATGAAGAATTTCCATTCCTTGCAGTAAGCCATTAGGCTTTCTCTCCAAAACAATTAATAAAATGATACTCTTCAAATGGTGCACATCAGTGGTGGACTGGCATTATCTTATTGTATTGTTGTTGTTACTATTATTATAATTATGATAAAGGTAACATTTTCTGAAAGGCTAACAGTCCAGTGCTAATGTGGTCCTGTTAGTCATACACTCATTTTAGAAAAATCGGTGCAAGCAGTCGTTACTCTTTCATGTTTTTTCCAGCGGTGCAACAGAAAGAGGTCCTCCAGGGCACATCTACCTCGGCAGTCACCTTGGCGACTGGCACCCCAGCTGCGTCCATTGTCGCAACCCCTGGGACTGCTGCCAGTACCACTACTACTGGGGACTTCCAAGTCTCCACCGCCTCTGCAGATGTAGCCGCAGACATAGCAAAGTACACCAATAAAGTGAGTTTATGAAGTGTTTAAGAATGACCGATGACTTCATTTTTTTTGGTTGTTTTGCTGGACAGGTTGACTTATTTGTTCTATTTTCCCTTTCAGGTAATGGACACAATAAAAGGAACCATGACGGAAATATACAATGATCTCTCAAAGAGCACTTCAGGAAACACTGTAGCCGAGGTATTAGATCTACTATTAACTCTAATGCAGTGTTTCCCAATCCAGTCCTCGGGGACCCACAGACAGTCCATGTTTTTGCCCCCTCCCAGCTCCCGGGAGGGAGTGAAAATGTGAGGGGAGGGAGCAAAAACATGGACTGACTGTGGGTCCCTGAGGACCGGATTGGGAGACACTGCTCTGGTGAATTAAGCCTGGATATATTGTATGCATCTCTGAAAGTAACATTTTTGTAAATTAAATCTTTTGGTACAGATTCGCCGTTTAAGAATAGAGATCGAAAAGTTGCAGTGGCTACACCAACAGGAGTTATCTGAAATGAAGCACAACCTAGGTATGGTCATTCCTCCTGCAGTTTTCTCTCAGCAGTCTCAAAATAAGAGCTGGATCCAGAAGTCCATCTGTGTGTGTGTGCGTGCACTTGCCAGAGCTCACCATGGCTGAGATGCGGCAGAGCCTGGAGCAGGAGCGCGAGCGGCTCATAGCGGAGGTGAAGAAGCAGATGGAGCTGGAGAGACAGCAGGCCGTGGACGAGACCAAGAAGAAGCAGTGGTGCGCCAACTGTAAGAAGGAGGCCATCTTCTACTGCTGCTGGAACACAAGCTACTGTGACTACCCCTGCCAGCAGGCTCACTGGCCAGAGCACATGAAGTCTTGCACACAGTCAGGTAACAGTCCTAGCTTTTGCAGTGAGCTTTTCCCTAACTGCGGTGCAGCTGCAGCCTGCTACAGATCTGATATCCTTTAACAAGGTTTCTCAAGTTGAGCTGCTAAAGGTGGGGTAATAGTGTAAACCAGTGAATGGCTTTGTGGCTCAGTGGGTAGCGCAGTGGCCTCCCAGCTCTTGATGGTGGGTCCGATACTGATCCTGGCTCTGTGTGCAGCCTCATCTTCCCTCTGCTTTCCTCTCACTCTCCAAAGACTTGTTGGGTGAACTGATCTCTCAGAACTTCTCACAGTTTTGCATGTTGGTGTGTGAATTTCTGCGTGTGAATGGTGATGGCCTAGCATCCTGTTCCTTTGTCTTGTGTACTCTGCTTCCTGGGAATGGCTACAAGCTCCACGTATCTCCATACTTGATAAGGGGAGATGGATGGATGGATGGATGGATGGATGGATGGATGTACGCACAAGTAATTATAACAGATGTGCAAACCGTTGGAATTCATGACATACTCTACTGGCATAAAGAATCACAATTCTGTGCATACTAACAAGCCTGTTTGCATTTTTGCACACTAATTAGCCTGTTTTTTCCCCTTTGTACAGCCACAGCCTCTCAACAGGAGCCTGAGACCGAGGCAGCCACAGACGTGGCGAGCAGGACCTCCACACTGACTGCCAGCACCCAGCAGACTCCTTTGGACTCTACAGCCACTTCCATGGACAAGGACTCCGCTGCAGAAAAAGCAAAAGACGGCGTCAGTGTCTCTGTATCCTAACCTCCAGCTTGTAGCCAGTTATTATTGTACGATATTCTTTGTAAATCTCTTGTTCAGGACAAACTTTGAAAATATGATGTTCAACACACCAGCCTGGGTATGTAAATGCTCCCTAAAAACCAGTGTTAATGATAAGAAATTCCTATTTCACGGCCACCATCTTACATTATCACAGTAGCGTGTCCAAAGGCTACAAGTCCAAGAGAAAAGAATTGTGTGTGCAATCGGGAGTTGCCCACAATTCATTCTATGTAAAAGATTAGAGCTGCTGTGTCTGTCACGGCAGTACACTATACGGAATGTCCAGAAGGAGTACATAAAAAAGCATCAGGCCTGCTGCCTTTTGGTTTTTGGACAAGCCACAAAATGAAGTCTTTGTTATTGAGTCAAGAAGACTAATGCAGGCCTCTGTGTCGCAGTAGAAGGATTTAACATGACCTCCCGCATGTAAGAGATGAAGAGGAACTTATGTGCCATTTGTAGTTCCCGGTGTCTATCAAGGGTACATTTCTTTTTATATTCTTCTAATCTCCATTTACAACCTTCCATTCACAAGAGCCAATCTCGCTCTACCACGGTTCAGCTGATCATTTGTGGATGGTATGTAGGATGACAAGGAAGAATGGTTCCCTTCCTGGTTCAACTGGAATTGCCCCACCATCATTACTGTGACATGAAAGTGCATAAACTTGAGGAAGTTTCAGAATAAGTAGTGCATTTAACATATCAAAGTTCCCTAAATGACATTTTCATTTGGGGGCAACTGCTGCTTAGATAGGAGCACATTAACTTTCAATATACTACAAATGACAAGAGGGTATATGAGCATGTTGTCAGATTAAACTGATGTTTTAGGCAAGTTGACAGAACACAAACTGAACATGTAAGTTCTCAACAGACACTATAGTAATAGTTCTAAGCCCAACCTATGTTTTCTGGTAACTTCCAATATGTCACTATCCAATTTTCAGTGCCCTTACTATGTAAGTGGCAGTGATTGTTTTAAAACTATCAGGTTAAGAATCAAGTTATTTTTTAAAAATTGTATGTTTTTAAAAACCAGTGTATATTGGTTCATGTCTACTATTTCAACTTGTTACAGGAGACATTTACCTAAATTACACACAGAATTTAATGCACAGTAGTTCAAGCCTGCTCAGATTTTTTTTTTAAAAGGTTTAAATTGTATGTCGATTATACCTACATAAACCTTAAGAGGACTGTAGAGCATACTTTTATGCCTTCTGAGTCTGGTTTTTAAAAGTTTCTGCTGAGGTCACATACTTGTGGAAGTGGGTTATAAAGAGAAGCTATTTAAGCATATGTCAGGACACCTCTTCAAATAAGCCCCACCTAAATATGTCTCTTAGGTGGGGTCTAATGGCTTCCCATTGGATAGACTGTTAAATATATTCCCAGTGTAAAAAATATAAAAGGGAAAAAAACCTACTCCTGGCTGAGGAGGAAAAAGAACAAAAGTGACTGTATATTTCTAGTGAGAATTTTTCTCACACATTGTTTACATTTGATGTAAATAAAGAGAGAAGGGGCTGAAAGAGTAGAGCCTTATTTTCACATGTGCACAGTACTTTTTATTTAGATCGAGACAGTTTTGGACCGTGGTATGGAGGTATGACCTACAGAATGTTTTGTCTTCATGTCTTTGATTTTCTATGAAGCTGTGTCATTCAACTGGTTACATTCAGCTTTTCAAAGAAACTTTCTTGCAGTACAAATCATGAAAAAATGGGCAGTGTTAACCCCTAATATTTTAAAATGCTAGAGCACACATTTGTTGCCTTTTTGCTTCTCCTTTCCTCTCAGGTTGAAGGAAATGGTTGTGTAAACAGCCTCTTTATCACTAATGTGGAACAACAAAAGGGTTATGTTGCCATCTTCAGGTCAAGGTGTGTGTGTGTATTTTTTAAATGTCTTGGCTTCATTGTGTCTTTCTGTGTAATGAAAGAGGAGTTAGTGGTGGAATAAATTCTTAACCACAATATTTAAAATATCTTAAATTTCTATCTTCAGAAAGCAGGTTTATGACTTATTTACAGCAGAGTTGAGAGGTCCATGGAAGTCTCACCAACAGTGGTGTTAGTTTAAAAAAGTAATAAAAGGGTTGGAAAAATTATAAAAAAATAAAAAAAAAACCTTAAATGTGAACTTAATATTCTTTGCCAACTTTAAAGATGTAGAGGCTATCAATTTGTATATATACACATCCATGAGTTACACTACAGTGTATAGAGTTAGAAGCCTTTCTGAGTATGGATGTTTGTGGTACGTACTTTTTTAAATCACCTGTAAATATTGCAATGTGTGTTTTTTGGATATAATAAAAGAAAATGTATATTTCATGTACCCCAATATCTTTTGTTACTGTTCTCTCCTTCTTCAAAATACTGACAGTATATGATTGTTACTGCAGTAACTCTGTGAATATTTATATTGTGTGCAACATGTCTGTTTATATAAAATGTTTTTCTAAATGCAATACTACTGGAACCATATTTGTCTCATTGATGAAGATTTAAGACAATACAATTCCATACATTTTTCCATGGATAATTGCTTATTACTTACAAGGTCACACTGAACTTTGCATATATCCTGGGATGGGATTTTCATACACTGCAAGGCACACACTCAAGGACATTTTAGGGACACCAAATCACCTAAGCACATCCCTGAAGGAAATCAATGTAAACACAGGCAGACGTGAACCTACAGTGCTACATCTTAATGTAGGTGCCCTTAGCAATAAAATCACCTTCATTTTATATTTTAAGTAATTTGTAGATTAAGGACTAGGCCTATAAAGTTCATTAACTGAATGTTTTTAAACATGCGATCAATTGGTGCTCTAAAATCTACATAGATTCCGGGGATTTTTGTTGTTTGGATCTTGAGGCTTCTCAGTGGCTTGTTCATTTTTGTGATGACTCCATCCATGCTGTTTCCAGGGTTGCCAACTCTGATGCATCTAGTATGATACACTTTCAGATTCTCATGCTTACATAAGAGATCTCACAACAAATCTATTATTCCATTATACATCTAAAATTAACTACAGTCGTGGCCAAAAGTTTTGAGCATGACAAATGTTTTTCACAAAGTTTGCTGCTTCGGTGTGTGTAGATCTTTTTGTCAGATATTTCTATAGTATACTTAAGTATAACTTCATAAGTGTCAAAGGCTTTTATTGACAATTACATTAAGTTTATGCAAAGAATTAATATTTGCAGTGTTGGCCCTTCTTTTTCAAGACCTCTGTAATTTGCTCTGCCATGCTGTCAATCAACTTATGGGCCCAATATCCTGACTGATAGGAGCCCATTCTTGCATAATCAAAATTGGAGTTTTTTGTTTGTCCACCCACCTTTTGAGGATTGACCAGAACTTCTCAATGGTATTAAGGTCTGGGGTGCTTCCTGGCCATGGACCCAAAACGTTGATGTTTTGTTCCCCAAGTCACTTAGTTATCACTTTTCACTTATGGCACGGTGCTCCATCATGCTGGAAAAGGCATTGTTCGTCACCAAACTGTTTTTGGATGGTTGGGAAAAGTAGCTCTCGGAGGATGTTTTGGTACCATTCTTTATTCATGGCTGTGTTCTTAGGCAAAATTGTGAGTAAGCCCACTCCCTTGGCTGAGAAGCAACCCCACACATGAATGGTCTCAGGATGCTTTACTGTTGGTATGACAGAGAACTGACGGTAGTGCTCACCTTTTTTTCCCAGATGCCCCAAACAATTGCAAAAGGGAATCATCAGAGATTTACCCCAGTCCTCAGCAGTCCAATCCCTGTACCTTTTGCAGATTATCAGTCTGTCCCCGATGTTTTTCTTGGAGAGAAGTGGCTTCTTTGCTGCCCTTCTTGACACCAGACCATCCTCCAAAAGTCTTTGCCTCACTGTGCGTATAGATGCACTCACACCTGCCTGCTGCCATTTTTGCACAAGCTCTGCACTGGTGGTGCCCTGATCCTGCAGCTGAATCAACTTTAGGAGACGGTCCTGGCACTTGCTGGACTTTCTTGGGTGCCCTGAAGCCTTCTTCACAACAATTGAACCTCTCTCCTTCAAGTTCTTGACGATCCAACAAATGGTTGATTTAGGTGCAATCTTGCTAGCAGCAATATCCTTGCTTGTGAAGCCCTTTTTGTGCAAAGCAATGATGACTGCAAGTGTTTCCTTGCAGGTAACCATGGTTAACATAAGAAGAATAACGATTTCAAGCACCACCCTCCTTTTAAAGCATCCAGTCTGCTATTCTAATTCAGTCAGCAGGACAGAGTGATCTCCAGCCTTGTCCTTGTCAACACTCTCACCTGTGTTAATGAGTGAATCACTGAAATGATGCCAGGGCAGAAATGCAGTAGAAATGGGTTTTTGGGATTAAGTTCATTTTCATGGCAAAGAGGGACTTTGCAATTAATTGCAATTCATCTGATCACTCTTCATAACATTCTGGAGTATATGCAAATTTCCATCATAAAAACTGAGGCAGCAGACTTTGTGAAAATTAGTACAGTGGTACCTCAGAACTGGAACTTAATCCGTTCAGAACTCCGGATCGAATCCTAAAAAGTTCGAGTTCTGATCGAATTTTCCCCATAAGAAATAATGGAAGACCAATGAATTGGTTCCCGGCTCCAAAAAATTACACCTAAATATGTTTTTTTTAGCATTTAAACACAAAATGAAACGGATAAAACAAGAAGAGCATATACTGTACTAAACACATCTAAGCACATTTATCGAAACAGTAATTTGTCAAATTTATCCAATGTGTAAAGTAAAAAAAAAAAAAAAGTGTTCTGCCCCGATCCGCTTCTTCCGTGTGCCACTCCCCCTCGTTAACCCCATGTGGAATCCTCGTGTGATCAGCTCTTTCTGGTTGTAATTGTCATCAGTCCTTTGTATTTAGTCCGTGTTTCAGTTTGTTTCCCCGAGTCCGGTCATTGTATTGTCCGTCTGCGTTTTGCCTGCCTTACCTGTAATTAAACCCAGTATTCCCCGATACCCTGACGTCTGCGCCTTTGTCTATGTTCCGTCCCGCTCGGCAGGACAATATCAGTATAATTAAATGTATTAATGTTTTATTATTAATATAAAAATAATTAATAAGAAATATTTATTTTTAAATGTATTATATTATATAATAATAATTACTGTTACTGTCTATCATTGTCTAATGTATTTTTTTACTGTCTAAATATATGCATTCAGCTAGTGTAAACATGCAGGATGCTATCATAGCGAATGCGAGGCTGAAACTGAAGCGTTACCCTTTGTTTCCGCTGAGAGACTTGCCGCATGACTCATTTCCCCTCGCGTACAAGTTATCTTAGGTTGGCGTTCACAGTTTGACTTCTAAGATTCAGATCGAGTCCTAGGTAATTTTTTTTCGAACTGGTTGGTTCGACTTCGAGTTATAATGAGTTTGAGAACTGAGGTACCACTGTATTTGTGTCATTCCCAAAACTTGTGGCCATGTGCACGGCTGTACATAAAGAGCATTGGCTAGTTAGTGACCCTATACAAACCATTTACAAGGTAATAAAACTGTTACATTAACTAAAATGTGTGTGCAGACTTGTCTTGAATTGAACATTTCGCTCCAGACAGCTGACCAAAGCCAGCTAGCTGACCCTGTTTCTGATCCAAGCATCATGCTCTCCAATGACCTGGGCATTCTCATAATATTAGCAAAGAAGACAGATTTAGTCTTGATATTTATACTTCAAAAATTTAAAGCTTAGGGTTGATTTGATCAAGAATCCACATTTTTTTTTCCTTGCAGTTGTTTGTTGGCACCAAGGATTAATAGTGACAATACCCTTAATGTCCCATTTACACCCATAAAAATTCACAGAAAAACATATTCTAAAATATACCTGTTTTCTATGAAAACGTATAATTTAAGCATCAAATATTTTATCACAAAGTACCTACTTCTTTACTACGCTGTATTGTTGTGACAATGCATTTAACGTTTTATGACTAAACAGCGAAAACGTTAATGACGGTCAAACTAAAACAAACCGCAAATCTGTAATATTTAATATAGGCCTTGAGTCATTTTAAATGTTAATACCTATGAAAACTATCGTTCCAGAGGTCTGATATTGGAATTTCTTTTACACCCTTTAGCAAATACCTGATTGTAATTTCCTTAATAAGATGGAGTATGACTGCTTTTTACCTTATATATAAACTGACACACAATGGTACACCCTTTATGATTTGTACCCAGATATAATCGATACACAAGTACACAGGTTAAAATGTGCCATAGGCCTAATTTCTAAAATACCACGCGGCTCTGCAGTTATGATGAAAAATTCCCGCGCATTACCTGCTTATATATATCATACGAGGCATTAGGGCAAACCTCTCTTTTTATCCACAGTAAATAGGCACCGGCCGAGCACCTCCCACCCCCGGCCCACGGCGTCGCTCCCGCCAGTCCAGGTACGCTGCTCCAGGGGCCGCACGGTGCAGCCCTGTGCTGCCTCTATTAGGATTAGGAGTTGAGATCATGCCAAGCTGAGAGACCGTATAAATAAAGACATGAAGTGAGTAAAGCGCCATTAACTCAGCACTTCGACGCTACTGGCGCAATGAAGTTGCATTTTGCGAGTTCAGGGCTGCCAGCTTCGCTCGGCTGGCTGGCGTGAGATTCTCAGTTCGAGACAAGTCAGCACACACATGCATGGAAGAGCTTCAACACTTGTAGTCCGTAGGGTTTGCAAACTATCCCAACACTTGATGCGGCTACTTTAACGTTTATAATGGAATAATAGAGGTTTGCCGTAAGATGTCTTGCGTAAGCGCGAGAGTGTCACGTCAGATGTGTGAGAGATTACAGCCCTGCCTACATGCGTCTAATGGTTTACCGTATAAGTGGGTTAAAATGCTTTGGGTTAAAATTTCAGTATAGGTTGATAGCTTGAAGCATTTGTCAAGACGGACTTAATAGTTTAATTGAGTTTCGACGACATTAGTGCTTACAGGTCACTCGAGCGCGCGCCTGCCCTTTTCTCCATATTTAGTGTTTTTTTGTAGATCGTGATTGTGGGTTAAAACACTTTTAATAGCCATGCACATCGCCAAACTGCCAGGCTCCGACGCACTTTCAGCACGAAAACACTATGAGCTCTATAAATGATACATTGTTGATAAATAACGTGAACGCTTTAGTAAAAGATGGTTTGTCTTGTCTAGTAGTAGTACGTTTGCCAGGTAATATTTACCACCAAAGCATGTCTCCGTATATAATGCTGTATATATCCCTTGACTGCTTCGTGTGTCTTTGAAATTAATTTCTCTGGCTTGAGCAAAACAATGCTCATTTACTTAGAAGAATTTAAATTTTTTCCATGTTGTATTTCACTAAATAACTATTGTAGTGGTATAGAAATGACAATTAGGGGAATGTCGAATGTTGCTGTCAGGTGAGTAGTATTTTTGTTGTGGAATTATGTAGGACACCAAGAAAAGTGTTGCTTATTACTGAAATTGCTGTTTTATTTTTACTGTCGCATTTAATATTGTTACGTTTTTAAAAATATACAGTAATGTGAATCATGTTGTATGTTTGCACACTGCTCTGTGAGTAATGAGATAAATTGACACAATATCACGAATGCTCCTTTTGAAAGTAGCTAGGCCAGATGATGCCCCTGTATTTTTTCTTTTTTTGTTGTTGTTACTTTAATATCATAGAACCAAATTATCGGCACAATTTTTTTCTTCATGTACATTATTTTGCACAGATTGGCCATATGGTGGTGCCGTTTCACGTTTTATTTGGAAAATTCATGGAACAAATACCTGTGGGGCAAATATATTTATCATGTCATATGCAGTTTTAAATATGTGTGTATAGTTTCAAAAATAAATATATAACATGCCAAATGAAGTATGCATTACATGGCATGTTCATCTGATGACCAGTGGGACAGGTGGTTGACTGGGTGCCAGTAAATTTTGCTTACTGGTGGAAGGGGGCCCCGGGGGGGTGGGGTTCTGTGATACTAAATATATAAAAAAGAAAAAATACAAGGGCATCTTCGATTTCTTAGAATTGATATTGAAACCAAAAATAGTTGACCTGCTGGTCTTTAGATACCTGCCATAATAAGTGGTTATTCTTATTGAGGCCCCAGTCTAAATGTTTTAGTTTTGATCTCATTTAATCAAACTTTTTTGTTTTGTTTTACACAAATATTAATAATAATGATAATATTTTTCTTTGATTTTATTATTTCAGTTATCCACATAAGTCAGCTATACACATACAGTATTGTGCAAAAGAAAATGTTTCCAGCTACGGTATATGGACAAAAGGTTTAGGACACCTGGCCATTACACCTACTCTGTGCGCAGCAGTCAAGTTTATTTAACATCTATCTCACCCAACCATGTCTTTATGGACCTTGTTTTGTGCACTGGGGCATAGAAATGATGGAACAGAAAACGGCCTTCCCCAAACTGTTCTTACAAAGCACAGAATTGTCCAAAATGTGTTGGTATGCTTCACTGGAACTAAAGGGCCTATTCCAACCCCTGCAAAACAACCCCATACCATTATCCCTCCTCCACCAAACTTTACAGTTGGCATAATGCAGTCGGACAGGTAACATTGTTCTACCAGGACTAGTCCATTAAACTGCCAGACAGAGAAGCGTAATCCGTCACTCCCCAAAACACATTTCCACTCTCCGGAGTCCAGTGGTGGCGTGCTTTACACCACCCCAACCAACATTTGGCATTGTACTTGGTGATGTGAGGCTTGCATGCAGCTGCTCAGCCAAGCTTCTAGCGCACAGTTTTTGTGCTGGGGTTAATGCCAGAGGAAGTTTGGAACTCTGCAGTCAACAAGAGCATTGGCATCCTTTATGCACTATATGCCTCAGCACTCGGGGAACCCGCTCCGTTACTTTACATGCTCTGCCACTTCGTGGCTGAGTTTCTGTTGTTCCTAAATGTTTCCACTTTGCAATAATACCACTTATAGTTGACTATGGAATATCTAGCAGGGAAGAAAGGTCATGTACTGACATATTGCAAAGGTGGCATCCTATGATGGTACCATGCTAAAATTCAGTGGGCTCTTCAGAACGACCCATTCTTTTACAAATGTCTGTAAAGCGGACTACATGGCTAGGGGCTTGATTTTACACACCTGTGGCGATAGGTCTGAATAAGACGTCTGAATTCAGTGACTGAGAGGTGTCAGATAAATTGTATTTATCTGGGTAGTAATTATACACAGAAAAAAACACGATATAACATTAGAATTTATGCAAATGAATAATAGCATGATAAAAAAATAAGAATTGCTTCTAAGAAAAGTTACTGATATCTTGAACTTCACTTTGCTTCCCAGGGGCACCCCATTCATTCCATATGTTTGTGAAATTTCACCACCAATAAGATAATGATTAGCCAAACATGGTATGCTGGTGGTCGAATCAACAAGTGCCTGCATGTATTCGATGCTAATACTGGGGTGACTTTAGGAAAGGGTTAGAAACTGCTGACACGCAGACAGCCATAGTTTTACACCAACATAAATGTAATAGTATGTTTACTTTGGCAAACTAAGAATTTTGCATGGAATGGAATGTCGATTTAGCACCTGTTACAGCTCTATTGTATCACCACAAAAGGCAAATATGTGTTTTTAAAGCCTTACCTGCATTAAAATGTATATTTTGTTTTTTTTATTGCAACTACGACGCATATGTCATACATTTAGTTTTTATCACTGGTATAAAAAATTGGTAAAGAAACACTTTAAAAGCAAGAAAGTTATACGTTCTGATATTAATTACTTTATTAGACTATTTTTAGGACAGCTGCTGTAGTTCTTTGAACATCTCATTGTGTGTGTTAATTGACAGGCCTTTTCCTAGTTTAAGAAAATATATTTAGTACATTGAAAGCCCTGAACTGTTGGTGTTTCTGAATACATCTTGACTTAATTTAATGAACTGGTGCACTCAACCTGTTACCTTTTGATGTATTATAATCAGAACTTTTCTGTGTGAAATGAATATAAATCATGTTGATGATAATGATTATTTGATAGTTTCCCATCCATGAGTTCTAGGGAAGTATTTTGCCCGAAACTAAAAATGTATATTATATGAAGGTCCTTCAGTACAGATTTCATTTATTCACCCAGAATAAAAATTTGTTTTAGTTCCAGGCCTGCTTCTTGCAAATTAAGTATTTAGAATTATGAATATTGGTGGGATACAAGTCTATGCAGACAAATACAGTACCAGACAAAACCTTCGATGTGCCAAGTCCCCTACAAAGGAAAGTGAGTTTCACGTATGTGTGAGTCCCAACCTACAACATTTTTAAATATACTTTGTTGGTTGGTGTATAATTCTGTATATTTTATTTTATAGTTCTGATGTCATTGTAATTATTGTAAATTGTAGAGAATAATACAAATAAGCCTTCCTATGAGTAGGTGTGTCCAAACATTTGACTGGTACTGTATATGGTGATAGGATTTCCATGTCATTCTGAATGTTTTCCCTGTTTCTCTTTTGTTGGTCTCTGTAGTACAACAGGAGGAGGAATGAGAAAATGACTGCAGAACAATGACGGAAACGGGGTCGTGCAGTTCTGTAAAGCCAACCGACGACGGCCGGAAGACATGGTCTTTTCGCAGCTCCACCATAGCCAGGAGACCTGTGCTCATGGAGCCGGACATACAGGAACCTAACGCCGCTCCGGCCCGGCGCAGTGTCCGGCGCATCAAGCGCACGGACAAGCTGCTGCAGTTTCTGTCAACTGCAAAAAGAGGCAGAGGGGCTAGGAGGCAGGCCCCCCCGTGCTCGGAGCGCTGCCAGCCTTCTTACCAGATAGTGACCGCTGATGCTGAAAGCACATCTGAGCCAAACTCCCTTGAAGGTCACAAAGCCAAGGGTCCTGGGGAGACCTCCGCCATCAGAATGACTGCAGAGAGGATGGCTGACCAGAGCCGACGAGCCAGGCGTGTTTCAGGCACCGGGAGTAATAGCACAGACACGGAAGACAGCGATGAGTTGACACTAAAAGAGCTGCAGGACCTTCTGAAGAAGCGCAAGAAGGGTGAGGCCAAGGAAGCAACAGGGCCCAGCTCATTAGTGGCATTTGAGCTGGAGAGCAAGAGACAGGAGGCCCATGTAAGGGAACCTGACTCAGTGCAGCATGCTGGTGGACAGGTTCCCAGAGGAGTGACTGTGGAGGCCACGCTGACTGAGGTGGGCCCACAGTCAAAAATGGGAGGGAAACCCAGCAGGTGGAGAGAGAGGAGTGAAGAGCAGGAGGAATACATGGAGGAAGAGGAGTCTAGTCAATCCGATCCTGATGCACTTTATTGCGTTTGTAGGCAAAAACACAATGAAAGGTGCGTCTCATTTTAGTGACACAGTTTGAGAATGCTGAGGGGGGGGGGGGATTTACACTTGGTTTACAAGCCTTAAAGCATGTGCAGGTCTGATTGAATCTGATTCTTCAGTCCCTAATGCGTTAGTATGTCGATTTCCCTTCTTAAGCATTGGACGTCTGTTTATGCAAAACACTTTTATTTAAAATCTTTTTTCAAAGTTATGTCAGATTGACTGTCTTCTCATACTTCTAGGCCTGTATCTCTATTTTTATCCAGCCCTGTCATACAGTCTTGGCAAACATTTTAGAAATTATATCAAATATAATAATTGTTTCATTTATGGTTTCATCGTAAATATTTCTTGTACGCGTAGTAGCGAGGCTGAGTTTGTTCACATCTCTGCTCTCCTGTTAAAGTGCCTTGGCTTTTTGCAGGTTCATGATATGCTGTGACTGCTGTGAGGAGTGGTTCCATGGTGACTGTGTGGGCATCACAGAGACAGAGGGACGGCAGCTGGAGGAAAATGGCGAGGACTACATTTGTCCCGGTTGCACAACACAGACAATCCTTCCTGATGATACAAGTGTCCCATCAGCCAATGCTTGTGGTGGAATAGGCACAACAATAAATCAGCCAGTAAGTTGTTCTGTGTAATTGGTAGATATTATCCACAGTCACCTGCAGTCTTTCTGATTTCACTCATTTGTTACTTTGTACTTGAAGAACTCCTCTTTTAATGGGCATATAATTTGCCCAGGACTTTTTAAAAGGAATCAGTATAATTCAGCAATATGACCCGGGGCTTTGGTTTCTGGGTCAGTCTAGCATTCTAAACGTGATGCTTCTGACTTTGCATTTTCGTTGACGAGTGAGTCTCCTTTCAGACCACAGAAATAATTGGGCTACCCAAGTGTATTGGGCCGGGCTGCAGGAAAAATGCGCTGCCAGACTCCGTTTACTGCAGTAGTGACTGCATTGTCCGGCACGCCGCAGAAGCTATGAAGAATCTGACTAACGTGAAGGAGCCCCGACTGAGACCGAAGCCAGACTTAAAAGTGCGGACTAAACTGGCACGGGGGAGCACTCCCAAGGTATGTTTATGCTGCCACATGCAAAAAAAAGAATTGTATGATAGGTGAGAGCAGTAGATGAAGGTCTTGAATGTGCACTCAGGTCTTATGAACACTTTTGTCTTTGTGAATAGTGGCACTTGGTTCCAGAACTAAAATAAAATGTTTCCTTTCTATAGGTGTTACTAGCTTTGTCAGGTTTAAATATGAGCCCACATACAAAGCAAATGACTTCATTTTAAACCATGAGTTTGTCCGTCTGATGTCTGTCACTGCCCATCTAGTACAGAGCTGTGATCAGCCTATAGCCCAGGAAGCACAGGGCATAGGTCAGTGCTTCTCAATCCGGTGCTTGGGGTCTGTGGGACGGTCCACGTTTTTACCAGGAGATGGGAGGGAGCCGAAACATGGACCGTCTTGGCGGTTCCAGAGAAGCGGGTTGAGAAGCACTGGCCCAGATCAAGGCCATACCCTGGATGGGGTGTCCGACTAGCACTGGGCACGCCCTTGCACTATGGAGTAAGAGCCACCATTTAACAAAGGGAACATGAGAAATCCTAACACACATACAGCTGCATGAATCAGACTCGCAGCCCTGGAGGAGTAAGACCACAGTACAACCCACTGAGCTGAGTGATTTCAAACTGTTACGTCCTTACGCTCTAACAGAAGAAAACATATGAAATGTCCTTAATAAATCAGCTGGTTTATATCTGTCCTCAGGACCAGAAGAGGTCTGTCCACCGAAGGCCGATGAGTCACGGAGAGACGTTCAGCAGAGCAGAGGAGAAGCATGACTTATGCAGCGATGAGGAGTGGGTGGAGGTGGACCAGAAGACACCTTACTGCTTCACGGAGCATCATGAATACACAGTAAAGCTAAACAAGACCTCTACATCTTTGTGTATGTATTTAGCAATTTTTAACGCCATTTATTTGTGTGAGTTCATCACAGTCTATAACATATATTTTCTGGAGAACCTGAGTCTAGCTTTCCTACTAAAAGCTGAAATTTGAGTGCCCAACTCCAGAGTAGGCAAAACACCCCCAGACTTGAATACCCACCCCCCCACCCCCCGTTTCACTGTTGTTTTGATGCACTGTGTTTTTTTCCCCAGTGACTCTCTGTGAAATGGTGTATGTCTTAGCCAATACCAAAACATTATTAAGCAGGATTAAATAAAAAAGAATCCCCAGATTTTCAGTGTGGTCTCAGACTCTTGGTCCCCGGTGTGTATAAATCTGTACTAACCTCAGATTTATTATTAAAATACTATTTAAAAATTTTTTTAGAGGTGCTGAAATGTTTGAATTTTTTTTTTGATCTTTCAATTTAAGGCGAAGAACAATGAATTGATTGTCAGTTGTGTGAATTATGAAATATTCCTATTTTCTTTGAAATATTCCTATTTTCTTTTGAACAGTTGAAAGGGAACATGCAGAGGAAGAGTTCAAGAAGGTGCCTGTTTGCACTCAAAATCCATTCATAACTGGTTCCCAGTCTCCTGAGTGTAGCAGGAAGCTCACATCCCAGGGAGATGCAGTGACTAGGGGGTACTGGCAGTCACCTGGAAACAGTGCTGGTGCTTCCCAAAAATGCCCTCCCCCTCCTGCCGTGTATTGGGGAAGCCTGGCTGCAGCCGTGGGGGATACTCCTACTTCTCAGCTGTCGGCTTCACTTCCCGCTCACTGTCCTGTCTCCAGGGTGCCGAGTTTCAGCAGGGCTACCTACACTATACCAAAAAGGCATCTCCATCTGCCCCTCTGCAATCAGCAGCTAACCAGCACTCAGATACCCTCCAGCTCTGTCTCATCCGACGCGGCTCGCCCTCCACCAGTGTCCCTGGGCTTTCCAGTTCAATCCAGGCCCCCCCAAACCAACACGATGAGGCAAAGTATCTGCCGCTCTTTCACAGAGATCTTGTGCAAGAGGTGAGACCATTGTCATTTATTATATAATGTTGTATATGTGTTGCTATTTTGTTTAGTTCGAATTTTGTCCATTTGCATTTACGGCGTTTGGAAGCCCTGAGCCAGAGCGACTTACATAAGTGCTTAGAAGTCTCATCAGAGAATATATTCTGATTCTGGTTCAATAGAACCCACCCAATAATACTATTACTGTAAAAAAAACTCTGTTGGCAAGTAATACATTTTTTTTAATAAGAATGTAATGCTGAAAGTGCTAATCCAAGTACTTCTGAAAGAGGTAGGTTTTTAGTCGTCGTTTGAAGACGCCCTGTGACTCAGCTGTTCAGACATCTAGAGGAAGTTCATTGCACCACATAGGTACCAAAACAGAAAAGAATCTAGATGCTTATCCAAAGCATTATCTAAACCTTCAGTTTCCAGTCATGTAGTTTGGAAAGTATAGCACGGTATAACTATATCAGTTAGTCCATTGCTTTAGCCTGTGCAGATATACAACATTATCATACTTGTGGTGGAAGTGGAAATAGAGATTGAGCAGTTGTACTTCAGGTACAAGGAAATAAGAATTGAAGGTATCCAGTTTTCAACTTTAATTTGGTCCAGATTTGTTGGTGTTTTTTTTGTGTCTGGTCAAAGACCAGGCCAGATGGATTTTTAGAAAAAATGCACTGCATTTGTGTACGAAGATTAAAAACCTCTACTGGCTATAGCTATCACAGCTGTATCTTTGCTCTTTCAGGGTCAGTGACAGTGATGACCTAGAAATACCTGAGAGTGAAATGGAAAGGCTTGCTTTTAGTATTGAGAAGGAAATGTTCAGCGTCTTCCTTGATACAGACAGGCACTACAGAAATAAATACAACTCGCTTATGTTCAGCCTGAAGGATCCTAAAAATAAGGTGAGTCCCATACGCTTTTTGAGTCCCTTTGCGTTCTTCACAAAGATTATATAATGATGTCTTGCAGGGTATGAAACAAGACAGTGCAGGTTATTAGGTGGTGTCTTCTGGCTTTTTCCCCCCAGAGCCTGATTTATCGTGTTGTTAAGGGCGAAGTCACTCCTTTCCTCCTAGTGAGGCTGAGTTCTGAGCAGCTGTTGTCTGTGGAGAGATCAGGACATGAACATGGGGAGGTAAAGCAGCAGGAAATTATTTTAATTCAGAAGTGTCCTTGCCTGCCTTCACCTATCCTGACAGAATACTCTTTACATTCTGACTCTGGGGGTGATTCTTCCATGTGCATAAGTGAAAGAACCAGATGGCTGTATGCTTTTTTCACTTAAGCGTATTCTCTTATCACCTTACACCTCTTGGCTAGAGACACCCTTTAGGTGGAGAAACACCAAAATATGGGTGTGTCACATGTAAATGACTTGTGCGCATTCTGCTATTGGGCTTAAGGACCCACTTACTAACAAGCACCGGTCAATACCTCAGCCCCCTTTAAAAGACTCTTCATACCGTCTGCATTACTAACCTGCATCTTGGCCAAACAGATAATCTCACCTCCAAAACTCATTCAAACCACTAACACACTTCATACACGTCTCCTGCACACTGGCTGCAGTTCTCCCTCAGAAAGCATACATTGCCACTCATAACACACTGGCCTAAGAAGCACTAACACGGAGTATTACATAAATTATGAACTTTTATCTCTGTGAATGATTTTTTTCACATAAATCAGGATTTCATTATAGAATCAAAATGAATCCTTTTCACTACTGAAGTATATGTAACGAGTGAATCAGAAATGCAATAATATGCGTCAATATCCTTTATTTTTCCCCATATAATTGCATTTAGTAATGCACTGTAGAATTTGAAACAAAAAAAGAAATTCCTGAAATTCCAGAACTACAATAATAATTACATCTGGCCATGTGGATGGTGGTCATAAACCTTCCACCTCCATGCAGAGGAAAAACTCCCTTGTGTGGTTTAGGAAGGGAGCGTATGGAGGCAGGAATAGTGCTGACATCCTGGGATGTGCAGCAACCTAGTCTGTGACGGCAGCAGTGGTGGAATGAACGCCACTTATCCCACACATTAATCAAGGTAGGGGAGTTTCTTGCTGCTCTCTTCCACTGGCTAGGCTTGCAAGGTCAACCAATACTGAAAAAACCATCATCGTAGAGTTTTGAAAGTACTACAATACCAGTGGTTTATTATGCAAATGGATATTTGATCTGGCTAAAAGGAATCTATTTCTTTAAATTCAATGCTGACAGGGATGATGTTGCGTTAATGGTGTGTGTGAGACATTGCGGGAATCAGCTGAGAGCATCAGCAAAGAGATCAGTGCGTGTTTTCGCTTGGTCCAGAGAAGAGTTGGCAACAGTTTCAGCAACACCTAAACTCATTGATAAAGGGGGGGGGGCATGAAGTGGAATATGGAGAGATTTTGGCTATAAAGTGGATGGGAAAAGGCGAGTCCCTAAACACGGCAGCACTGCTGTGTCTCGCAAACGGAGGCTACACGTCAAACCTGGCCAGACGTCTGTCAGACAAACATCCCAGCATTTTCAAGGAATTCAAAGACCAGCAGGTATCAGTTGGTTAGTGTGCTCCCCTGTTATGTCCACGAAGGAGATCAGAGTGATCGTAAAGCCTTTCTGCATTCATACATTCATTGTCAACAGAGAAGGGTCCATTTCACAAGTGACCCAAACTCGCCGATTACCGGTAATTCACCTTGACCGTGATTTAAACCATGATATTAATAAAGACAAAACTGATGCTCAAAATGTTTCTTGATAATGCTTAAGTTTAATTTTAACTGACCCGACTATCATTAAAACATTTTCATTTGAAATAAAGCATAATATTAACAGTTGAGAATATTTCCCCCCTTTTTTTTTTTTTTGGGAAAAAAAAATTTGAAATCGAAACCCATGACTTAGCATTGAAAGCAAAACAAAAATGTTGGTATCGTGACAGCACTACCACTGGCACATGTCAATAACGTACATCATCCAAAAAATAAATGAGCCTCTCTATTGTAGGGGCCAATGAGATGTTTGTCTAGGATCAAACCATCATTGGACAGTGCTGCATGCATTGTGATGTTAGCTCCCCTCTGACCTGGACATCTATGGCTGCTCTCTGTCCAATCACATTTCTTCCCCTGTGGCATGTTTTTACCAGGTCGAATCCCAGCTTCATCCACAAAGATGAATGTATGTGCAGTTTGCCTGACTTCCGTCTCCATCCACAGTTTTACAGTACTTTACATTAAGCATAGCTGTGTATGTACCTTGTTTGGTTACTGAACAGACATCTTACCTGGACAAATTGAAACTGGGGTTCTTTCAAACGTTCACCGTTTCTCTCAAAGGGTACAGAGTACACCTGCTGCATCCTTATTTTATGTTTCTCTAGGACTCTGGCAATTATTGTGCTGACCGTATTCACATTCCCAAAAGTAATATTGTCTGCCAGCATTCTGTCCCGAATTTCCCACAGTTGTATTGCACTGTTGGCAATTACCATGTCAACAATAGCAATTTTGTGTGCATCTGAAAATATTCTGCCTCTTCCTCCTGTGACAGGCAACCTTTGAATCCTACTGTAAAACATGAAACAGTCAACATATTTCAAAATGTCAGTACATGTAGAAATATAAACATACAGTATTGTACGCAATAATTATAATTAAAGGGTGAACATCTTGCCTGTTGTTTTGCTGGAAAATTTGTAATATTGATGCAACGGGTGAACACTGCAGATTTGGTTATAACCTTAAACTGGCCTTTCAAAGAGAGACCATGGTTTACAACATGGTCAATAACTATGGCCCTTACCCACACTGCTCTTGGTCGTCTCCTCCTTTGTCTTCCCTTTTCCCCCACTATCTCATCTTCCTTAATCCATGTTTCCAAATCAAATGATTCAGTATCTATAGTGCATTATAGATAAGAGCCTAATAAGGCAGTCATAATGCATAATAAATATGGTTATAATGCATTATGCCTTTTAATAAATATTTATAGCCTTATTCATAATGCTTTATGAATGTGTTACAATGCAAGTGTTTATAAATTACTAAAAAGATGGCCTTAAGTAAAGTGTTACCCTGTTTTCTAACAAGATTAAAACCAGGATACTTGGGTAGGCTTTCAGCTGAAGTTGCTTTAATTTTTTGTAAATATTCCAAGATTTCCTATACATTTCAATATGGCTACTGCAGAAATGCACAAAATTTGTCACCATTCTGTTTTGAATGTGTTTTTAACAGTTGTGAAAACGGTGTGTTAGCATTTGAAAAATGCGCTACAAATATATAGTGTTTTGCAGGTGGTGAAGTATGAATGAGAAAAGAGTTCATGGATTATTCAAAATGTGGTCATTGAATGCATGTTGTGTGAAAGCAATGAAAAATTATTCAGTTTGGTCTACATAACTTCTGTTTCAAAAACTCTGAAGAGTTTTGACACTCTGTCTTAAGCTTTGACCAATACATGTTAGCAATCAAAAGAAACACATTGAATTTTTCACTGTGTGCTTTGGAGGGCGGCATTAAGTCACATGCCGCTATATGGCCAGATGCAATATTACAGTGTTCAGAAAGCCAAGCGTAACCAAATGAAACCTTTTACAATTGTTATACATTTAGAAGTAAATGTTACAATCCAAGACATGAATAATTCATATAATTATATAATAATTGTATAATAAAATACTATATAGAAATGTGTAAGTATATACAAGTAGGCCTGTATTACCATTTGGCAGGATTCAAGTGACACATCTGTCATGAAGATGCCTAGTAGGTGAACAACTAATCAATTAAAAAAACAATTGAATTAATATGGGTAAAAAAAGATAAGGAAGTAGCGTGTCCTTGCAATCCTAAGCCACAGTGCATGTACTTGCGCTCTTGCGAGAGTGGGATACACAGAGATGCCCTCATCTTGATTTATTTCAACTGACTGACACTGAATGCATGGCATATTTCTGGGTTTTGAACTAATATGGGATACGACTTTTTCTGTATTTTCATACTCGTACACTTCACATATACACTACATGTACTAGATAGGGGGTCTTCAATGGAGCTACCTGACCAGGAGGCTTGCCTAATTAGTAACCATTCTATGTTTAATGGGGTAGATGTGTCTGTTTTTAGTGTCAGTGACAAGCTATTGTTTTGGAATGATAGGTTGCAGCCTAAACTGTAGTGTATGAGTATGTCTGGACTATGCAGTTGATTGCATTACCAGCTTGTTTTACCAGCAATGCATTCCAGACTTTCAGCCCATGTTACTAATAACATTAACATTTATACCATATCTATTGGTTATGCCTCCTTGCATGTTTTTAGAATTGTTCTGAATCAAGTGGAAAAAAACGTCGAAGTATATGGATTCGTTTTTAAACATGGGTCATTGTCACAAACTCATCACATACCAGTTCATATCATCATAACGCATCAGTTTATTCTTTTCATTAATGTTACTGTGGGCTTACATCATATTATTGTCTAAAATGTTGATTTTGCCTTTGGGTTAGTTAATTAGTTGCAGAGTGAAACAATTGGCAGTATAAACAATGGAAGAAATGAATATGTATCTTATACTAATTGATTTGTCTTGTGGGTTATAAATAAAGTTGAAAGATTTTAAAACATATTTAGTTTTGTGTTATTTGTTCTTAAAACTGCAAAAGTTGTGCCTATTTGGGGAAAATGGTTGAGGGATCATTAAATCACAGCTACAAATTATTAATGTACCTAATAAGGTAATGTCAATTGCTCCGCACAAAATTCAAACACTGTATTTCACTGTAACTTTGTTTTTGTCAAAGCATTCTGTTTGTGAGAATGACCAACTGTAAGCATTGTAGGCTACTGCCATGCTTTCATTTTCAGAACAAAAGGGTTTGATCTTGATGTGGATTCAGATAAACTTTATTAACCAAATTATTTCTTTGGCAGTGGGAATTTGTTAGGGTTAAATAATCTAAATTTAACAAATGAGTTTGTCAGGTTTAACAGTGATTACTATGTGCTCTATTTTGATTCTGGGCATCTTTGTGTTTTTTTTTTTTTTTCTCAATTTTTAGGAACACAAAGAGTCTTGTTTTTCAGTTTCTGCAGACAGTCAAAGCATGGTTGGTCCTGCCTCGGGCACTCATTGTAGCCTGGTGAAGACCCCCACTGCTGAGTGCAGGAGTAATCCATCTGACTGTAACTCCAAGATCAGGGCAGGTACTTAGTATACGTCAGCAAACTTTGTAACATAACTAGCTAGTTTTTGTTAAATTTACCTATGCAGTTTATTATTCCTGTAGCTATGCAGGTCTCTGTCCACCTGCCCATGTCATCTTTGCTTTATGTGCTGTAAATCGCCGTTTTCTAGATCAAATGCCAGATGAAGAGGAGCCAAACATATCCAGGTTCTCTGTATCTTCTGCTGCTCAGCAATTGGACCTAACTGTAAAGCAAGATGGCTGGCCTTCTGGTGAAGAAGGTTCTTCTGGGGAACGGACTTCAGATAATCAGCCAGCAAGAAACAAACCTGTCATCTCCCCTAAGGATATCCCAACCACAATTACATCTTCATCTTTAATTACGTCTTCAGCCGCCATCAGCCGCCCAGGGCCATCTTCTGCAACAAGTCAGGAACTGAGTCCTGTTGGCAGTTTGGCGACCTCCACCATTTGTACCACCACTGAGTCAGTGACTGAGATCAAACCAGTACAGTCCCTGAATACACACTCCCCTCTCTCTCCTTCCAGATTCCCCCAGCTGAATCTAGCATCTTTGCCTCACTTCACCTTTGATTCCTCCATCAGGTGCTTTTTGCCGTTTGATATCTTCAGTTGTTTTTAACATCAAATGGAAGGCTGAAAGCCTAAAATTAGTTTCCTTATCGTTTTTTGGAATAAGGCTGGTTCTAATGGGGCTTTACCTGTCTTTATCCCAGTATGGCAGTTCCGCCCCAGAACAGGGACACCGCTCAGTTTCTCTCTGAGCAGCCGGTTCTCTGGAAAGGCTCTGTCAACATGCACACCGTCACCAAGTTTGCTGCCAAGGCTTTTTTGGTCTCTGGATCTTTTGAGTACCTGGAAAAGGTCAGACCATGGTACCATTATTGTTATAGGTCCTATTAATTTGTAGTCAGGTGTTTTTCTTAAATAGTTGGCATGCAAAATGGTTTAATCTGGGCATGTAAAGTCTTCAGTTCATCAAAATGTTATAATTTAAATAGTTTCATAGAGGGAACTAATCTCATTTTAAACCAAATGGTTATACAGCTGAGTTTTGCTAATATTCTTTTTTTTTTTTTTTTTTTTTTAAGAATTTGCCGTGCTCTATACAGATTAATGGCCGTATCTCCCCTAGCACAGTGTGGGACTATGTGGGGAGGCTTAAGGCATCTCTGTCAAAGGTAAACGACTCCGCCAGCTTCAATATCAACAAACAACCCGACAGTGTCTGTCGAATTCTGAATTGGATCAGTGCTGCTGTTTTTGTTTCAGGACTTGTGCCTCATTCGTTTCTGCGCATCAGTGGGAGAGGAGGAAAGGGCCTATGTCTCGCTGTTCTCTTATTTGAGCAGTAGAGGACGTTTTGGGGTGGTGGCCAATAACAACTCGCACATCAAAGACCTCTATATCATTACACTAAATGCCAAAGCCCCCATCCCCTCCAAACTATTACCTTTTGAAGGACCAGGTAAGCATTTGGAAAGCGGGGTTATTGGACATTTTATTTGTCATGTATAAAGTCTAAAATATGCACATGGATATTGATTGTAGCATGGTTGCGTTTTTGTGGGTGTATTCTGCCTCTTTCTTTTACTGGTCAAAGTCGTAATTGCAGGTATGTATGAAAATAATACTTGTAGATGGAAAGGGATGAAAGTGTTTTTTACATTTAAAGATAATCTTTTTAAAAAAAAAAAAAAAAAATTCTGTTTCTCAGTATAGCTTAGCAGAAAACTAGGTGCGCTAGCAACACATCTGTTATTTGTGTTATTGTTATTTTTTAGGATAGACAGTGTCCCCCCCCCCCTGTCCAGCTTTAATGGACTGGTCCTACTTTGAACTACCCAGCTTTCTTTTCATGTTGGACTTTAATGATACGGGTTGTTTCACTAGCAAGCGAACATAGTAGGAAATGGCACGAAGATACAAGACTGCCATTACTTCTCCCGTGTTACTATCCCGCTAAAGTGGTCAACAAATTGTGAACAGATGTGGACACATTTGAACAAATGGATACAAACATTGGAGACTAACCTTAGCCTCAGGGGTGGAGTAAGGCTGAGACTATCTTGGGCTATGCCTAGGACCATGGCAGCAAAAGGGAATGATTTAAGCTTTTTAAATTTAGCCTATCGATCTGCTGGCGCGATACCCCCCAGCCCCCTAATTGGCACATTTTACTGATCTCCTGATTACTGATTTACAGCTCTCCCGCTGCTGCTCTAATTGGTAAGTTTTGCTGCTGTCATCCCGCGTTTTGATTGGTATATTATTTTAGTTGCATTATTTTTAATTCCCTCTCTTTTCACTTTTAACTCCCCCCAAAAAATAGCTCGAATGGCCCAGTTAGGGGGCCCCAGAAAAGTTAGTCCACCCCTGGATATAGCCTAAGTTTTTTGTTTCAGAAAAATGTTGTGCATTCCATGAGTGCTAGATAGGTCAACCTGACAAATCTAAATTAATAATAATCCATATGACCTCATCCAGAGGGTTAGGTTTGGTGGAAGACTTTCACCATGATTGGTGTACAAAACGTGAGTGTTATTAGCATCCTGCACGAGGCACCATCTGTAAACACACAGTTGGGTGCTATGAATTCAGGGTGTCTTGTAGATCTTGTGAGGTTTTCCAGATTTGTTCTACATGCGAAAACAGTTGCTGCCCTGCTGCTTTTATGATGCTAAAGCCCATTTCAGGATGTGAGACCATGATGGATGGTCAAAGATGAGTGTATAGACTGTTCAGAACAGGATCTCAGACTTCCCATTAAATGTGTCAAAAAAATTCTGCACATTATGCAGAACATCAGTTCCAAAGCATTTTTTTCCAGTGTGGAATTCCATCCTGGGTGGTAATTGTAATAATTTGCCTAATGTTTCATAGAAAGCAGCAATTGTTTTGTAACACGTGAAATATAGTAAATATTTCAATTATGCATTGTATGGTTGTTTTTTTCATTTCGCATCTGTTAAGCCTAAATGTCTGTGTAAAAACTTTAAAATGCAGTTGTATTGAAATGCTGCACCATTATGAATAATCCTTCTACCCCCAAAATTAATGTTTATAATATTTTTTTTCACTTGTGAATATTTGTATTGCTTCGCAAATTTCTTAAAAATTTTGCATTCCTTTGTCTTAAAGGACTGGAGTCAAGTCATCCTGATCTTCTTCTTGGGCTGGTCATCTGCCAAAAGCCAAAGTGCTCTGCAGTCCTTTCAGAGAGCAAGGATAAGATACCAAAAGTTAAAATCATTGCATCAGAAGAAGCTGCTCTCCCATCTCAACAGCCTGTTCCCAGATCTGGCATGAAGCATGGGAACGTAGAGCTGCTTGATACCAAAGTATCCTGTACAAGTCCAGATTCCTCTGTCTGCATTCACCCCCCTGTTTCCTTACAAAGTTCATTTCTGACATCACCAGCTGTGACACAGCATTCATCTGTCAGGTCGCCTTCTAAAAGTAGTTTGGTTACAAATTCTCCACCCTCCACATCTGATATTTCACCATCTTCTGCTCCCCGTAATGCATTATTTTTAAAGCAGAGGCATAATGATGGTGCCTCATCTCATGGCTCTGTTGTTGAAATCATAAAACCTAAAGTCTGTGATCCAGTAGAGCAAATATTTGATCAGATTTGCAAAGGTGAGGAAGATGATGATAATGACAGACCATGCGATCCAGAGAAAGAGTATAATACAGGGATGGACATGAATGAAATCAGGAGTAATAGAGACAGTGTGAATGAATTTGCAGTGAATCAATCTACTGATGCTTCAGCTGTCAATGTTGATGATGGAGCCTATGACCCAGAGGATGGAAGTATCTTTGAGGAATTGCAAAGCCTCACTATGGACATCACAGCCCAAGTGATGAATTCACCCGACAGCAGAACTGCCTCTAGAAGTGACGTCTCAGTGCTGATGGAAAAAAAGAAAATGCTGGAGAAGCTGAACAAGGAAATTGAATTACAGAAACGGCAGCTGGAAGAGCAGGAGGAAACACTGCGTCAACAGAGAGCAGCCATTGGCTTGTCTATGGCCCATTTTTCTGTTTCTGATGCTTTAATGTCACCACCTTCAAAGTCCATACAGCTAAACAGTAGGCTGGTAGGGCTAGGCAGAAACCCAGTGGGACTACTGTCAAAGCATTCAGCAGCACTAACAATAGGCAGTATAAGTAGTTCTAAAAAGAGCGATATCTTACACGAAACCACAAATACAAGCCTGATATCCCAATTTCTGCCAAAAGAGAAGACTTCTGCACAGGCAAACGTTTCATGTGCATACAGATCAGAAGCAACCATACAGCCACCATCCCAGAAAGTTTCTTTCCTTGATACCGAAAGTGCAGAAATGTGCAATCCATTGTTTCACAAGAAAGAAGATCCTCAAATGGAAAAAGCTACACTTCAAAAACACATCATTAAAGCTGTGGAAGATGGAAAAAATTATAGCGAGGATGAGATGGAAAGTAATTCATATGTCTCTTGGGAAAATTCAGCACACATTTTAAATACTTTAAGTCCTAAGTCCCAGACGACTTCTACCTTCATGCCTGACACACAATCATCACAGCTTCCTGGAATCACAAACTATCTGGGTGATAATCGCGACCCTCTTATTCCAACTGTGGGACTGGAAAACCATGACTTTGGGACCACTTGGGAAATGCCACCTCCTATAACATTACAGAATCAAATGGGGCAACACAAAGTACAGAATGAAAGTGACCAGACTGGGCCCTCAGATATATATCCTCCTTTCCAGAACGACTTGAGAGACACTCAACAGCAGTCTAATAGTTCTCAAAAATTTGTAAATAGATCCATCATGGGACTAAGAGACGATACCAAATGTGAACATACAGACCAAAGATCACCTTCTCAGAACATGAGACAGATGGACCGTCATTCAAGAGAAGCTACAGAATGCCAAGTGCCTTCTCAGATTTTTGATGGGCAGAGACATTCATACCAATCAAGGTTTAAAAAACCTAGGTCCGGTGTTAATTATTCTAGAACTAATGTCCCTATCCATTCCGGTAGGACTCACCAGAACAATTTTGGTGGTAGAGACCCTCATTTTCCTGATCTGAGAGTTTTCTCTTCCTCTAACTTAATGAGCCATGAGCCTCGGAAGCCTTTGTTAGATACACCAAAAGACATTGAGCTTCAATATCCTAACCACAAAAATCATTTTCTGAATGAGATGGAAAATCATAATGTACATGAATCCTTGTGCATGAGCCGAGACGCATATATTTATTCTCAAGATCTTTATAGTGTGCCTGCTCACAACATGAGTGACTGGGGTAAAGGACCAGTGGATAATCCATTTCCTCAGAGTCAAGAGATGCCCTCCTCTCAACATAGAGGGTCCTTTAGAGATTACAGAGGGTTTCGCCCTTCTACACTCCAAGTGAAAGTAAGTCCTTCATCCTCACAATGTAGTGGTCCTCTAAACCAGCCCACTAATCATTTTTCAGGCTCTACTGAGCAAAAACAATTCAATTTTCAGCACCAGCATCTTCCATTGGAAGCAAGACCAACGCGGCGGTCTGGCCCTTTACTTCCTACGCCTCCTGAATATTTAATTCAGATACCTAAGCACAATGGTCAGAGTTCAGGCTTTTATTATCAAGGCCACTGTAATCGCTATCCTGATGTGGGGAGAAAAAGCACTTTCAGTAACAATTCAGAGTTGGGGAACAATGGAATTAGGCTAAGGAGAGCGAGCGCATTTCAGAGTGGCCGCCATGAAAAGGAGAGTTTTAAGTATTCTGAAGACTGGAGAAGAGATCAGGGTGGATTTGACAGCAAAGCATGGACAACTGATCTAGAAGTGGATAAACCAGGAAGACCAGAAAGATACCAAAAGAGAGACAGCAGAGGCAGGACAAAAGATGATGATATGAAGAGGGAAAACTATCTCAAAAGACATCAGAAAGGAGACAGAGACCGGAATAGAGAGTGTGACCGCGACTTTGCGAAGGACCGAGACCGAGCACGTAATCAGTCAAGAAGCAGAGACAGGGACCTTAGGAAACATCTTGGACATGACCGAACCAGAGGCCATAGACCGGACATGAAGAGAGATAAAGACACTAGTAAAGTAGACACTAGTACTATGTTACAAACAAAGAAAAAAAGGAAGGACCTGAAGTATGAAAGTTGAAAGAAGAATTGGGGGCCAGAAACAGATTACTATTGACAACATTCCAGTATCTCGAAAATTTATTTTGTCTAGATGCTAATTGATAATGGGCATAAATTATGCACAAGAACCTATATAATTTGGAATAGGTTCTTCAGTTTGTATATTTTTGTTGCATGTTGTTTGTCAAAAAGTTTTTCTAATTTCATCATTTTATTTGCCTTTGCACAACATGAATTTTGATCTCAATGGAGAGGCGCAGAATACTTACAATGTAGACTTGTAATACATCGGATGAAATGCAGTATTTATAAAACACTGCTTAAATAGATGTGTAAATAAACATCATAGTACTTTAAAATTAATCTATATTAAAATTGCAGAGCACATGGGTTAGCATTTTCTTGCAAGATGTAAAATGCAAAGCAGAAACCAAAGCAGCAGAGATACGGCTACTATTTGAACGGTTTCGTAGACTGTACTCTGGAGGGAGGCCTTAAATCCAAAACTACAACCCATGTCATATATGTATGTGTAACAGTAATTCCAACAACAGCTGCAAATGTGACAGTTTTTCTTATTACAAAACAGCCTTGATTTCCTCAATTCTGTAGCTATTCCGTTTTTTTTTTTTTGTTTACTTAATTTGTAAAGAATGAAAAGAAATCATCACAGCTACAACATTGCGGAACTTAATCATCATCTGTCAAAAATGTCACTTCATAAGGAATTATAGCTGATGAATAGTACGAGTTCAAAGTCAGAAATTGTATCTTGCATTTCACAACTATTTCAGAAGTTCTGTGTGTTGAGGTATTGAGAATAGAACTTCAAAGTTTTTTTTTTTGTGGTATTGGAAAAAAAATTGATATGATGACTCTTGTCTGTGTTCCTCTGCAGAAGAGCATCCTCAATAAGGGAAGCTAATCTTCTGCACTTCTCAAAATCATCCAGAGATGGCACTATATGTCCATGTTGGAAGAAAAGAACAATTGTGAACACCATCTGTACTGCATACAAGATTGTTTTTTTTTATACAAGGAAACCCACACGAATCACACGCCAGTGTCATTTGGCAATAAATCATCTCAGTAGCCAATGCAATGTTTGTTAGCACCATATTTTTATTTTGTATTTACTGCTGGGGCATATTTAAATAATCCAATCACATATTACAGTTTCTTCACATATAATTGTGTGTTTATGTGGCGAAAATCAGTGTTGAATTACTAACAACTGGAATGCAAAAATTCAATATAGTGTTGGATACTTAGAAAAGAATGATTTACTGAAAAGTGGCTTTATTCAATCTTTCTTACAACATGGTGCTATAGCATTTACTGTACATACTGTACAACACTCACCCGCAAGTAATAAATATTATTTAAAAGAATGTAGATTTAATAGTTACAGCACCAGTACATAGTGGATGGTGAAGAGATGTAGATGTTAAAGCTCTGAACACTAATGACATTTTACTTACAGTTGCTGTAAATATCCACTGTAGAATTTTTAAAGGGAATATAAAATCAAATTATGACAAAATAAGAATTGCCCTTAAGGAAAAAAAAACTTCACAAGTCACTTTAAAAACCTACGAAGTGTTTGTCCTTATTTTGGATATATTTCTATACAAATATGTGAATGCATGTTGTGATTTCCTGTTATACACACATCTCCTTCACAGAGGATAAGCTCTTGATTTGACAGTTTTTATTTTATAAGGTTTTTCTTGTGAGGTAAAATTCTTCAAGCCATTAAAATGGACCTTCACACATGCAGCTTGACAGTGCAGCCACAGACTTACTGCAAAGACAAAAGATGTTTTAAAGGGCTTTTGCAGAAGGGATGCATTTGAAATATAGAGTAATGGAAATAAAAACACATTTAGTCACATGCATCTTCAAAGCAACTGTCTGAAGTATCTTTGCATTAAAGTCATTCACTGGTTTTCTGTGTCATTTATTTATAGAACTTGGTTCCATAACTAGCATATTTTCACTTCAGTCCAGTCAGTGTAGGGAGTCTTCCTCTTAATTCTCATTTTCTGTCTTCTCCACTGATCTTTTTCCTTGAATGTTCTTTCAGTCACTTACCTGATTGTTGTTCTCTTTGTCTCTTTCCTTATCACTATGATTGTTTCTATTTACTTTTACATATATTAAAAGACATGGGACCTCCTCTTTCTTTAGACAGTTTAATGTTTCTTGGGATTGGTTGACTTCCCGGCAGCGACTGCTCCCTGGCATGCCGACGTGTCGCAGATCCCCGGAGGACCCTGGTGTCCTGGTCTGCCCATCCGTCCTGGTTCTCCCGGCTCTCCTGGATCTCCAGGGGTACCGTCTCGCCCATCTTTGACTATTCCAGACACTCCTGGAAAACCTAAAACCACAGAAACGGCAAGCCTGAGCAAAAAGTGGTAACCACATTAATTCTGCAATTTTGCATGTTTACAAAAGCAGGATGTGGATGAACCCATTACTTGGGTGTACCTTGGTGTCCTTGGTCTCCTGTTGGCCCTTCAATGGCTTTACCAAGTGGTCCTTTGTCTCCGTTTTCACCAACATCACCTGCAGGTAGGGAACGGTAATATGCAATGAAATGTACAGCAAGATGTTTTGAGTATTGACAGATTGAAGAGATTCAGCAAATGTAGCCTTATGGGTGGTATATGCAGCCTTACAGGTAGTATACATAGCCTTATGGGTGGTATATGCAGCCTTACAGGTAGTATACATAGCCTTATGGGTG